ATGTGTTTGATAACATGTTATATTTTTATTCTTAGAATGAGAATTGTGTTTGATAACACAACAAATAATATAATAAAAAATAATTCCTATCAAGCATAATTTTTTTTTTATCATCACTTTCCTTTTCATATGATGGCGTCAACGGCAGCGGTGGTACTGCAGTGGCTGCGGCGATGATGGTGGTAATGGTGACGATGGTGGTGGTGGTAGTGGCGGCGGTTGGTGACGTGGTGGTGTTGGTGATGACATGGTGGTGGTGGTGGTGACGGCAGTGACTGAGACGATGGTGGTGGTGGTGGTTGGTGACGGTGTGGCAGTGGCGATGACGTGGTGATGGTAATGGTGATGGTAATGGTGATGGCATGGTGGTGATGGTGGTGGGGGTGGGGGTGACGGAAATGGCTGTGGCAATGATGGTGGTAATAGTGGTGGCGGTGGTGGTGGTGATGACGGCAGTGGCTGAGGCGATGGTGGTGGTGGTTGGTGACGGTGGCGTGGTGGCAGTGGTGATGATGTAGTGATGGTAGTGGTGATGGGCATGGTGGTGGTGGTGATGGAAGCGACTGCGACGATGGTAGTGGTGGCGGCGGCAGTGGTGGTAATGGTGGCGATGGTGGTGGTGGTGGTGGTGGCGGCGACGGCGGTAGTTGGTGGCGTGGTAGTGGTGGCATGGTGGTGTTGGTGATGACATGGTGGTGGTGGTGGTGACAGCAGTGGCGCGACGATGGTGGTGGTGGTGGTTGGTGACGGTGTGGCAGTGGTGATGGTAATGGTGATGGCATGGTGGTGATAATGGTGGTGGCGGCGACGGCAATGATGGTGGTGGGGTGGTGGCAATGATGGTGGTAATGGTGGTGGCGGTGGCGGTGGCGGTGGCGGTGGTGATGGCAGTGGCAGTGGTGGCGGCGTGGGTGGTGACGGCAGAGGCTGCGGCGATGGTAGTGGTGGCGGCGGTGGTAATGGTGGTGATGACGGTGGCATGGTGGAGGTGGTGGCGATGGCATCGTGTTGGTGGTGGTGGTGACGGCGGCATCGTCGTGGTGGTAGTGGTGGTTGTGACGATGACATTGGTGGTACAACGGCGGTGGCGACGATCGCGGTGGTGGTCATGTCGGGATGATGATGGTGGTGATGATGATAGTGGTGAAGAGTAATTGTGAGAAATAAGTGTTTCTCATTTTGTGCCCGGGAACAAAAAAACAGAATTTTTTTGATTTTTTTTTCTGTTCTCGAGCACAAAAATTAAACCGGTTCATCCCGGGAACAAAAAAATAAACCGATTTTACCAAACGAGTTTCCTATCCATTTCTGTTCTCAGGAACAGAAATTAAAAAAGAATTGATTCTGAGAAGGTTGTCATGCTATAGACATAATCAATGTAGACCCCATCACTTTTAAAATAAAAAGAAAAGAAAAGAAATGGTGGGGTTCATATTGATTGTGTTTATAGTAGGGGTGGCAATTTGGGTTGACCCGCTCCGACCCGCCCGCCCCGCCACCAACTCGCCAAAAAACAGGGCTGGGCGGGTTGACCTACCAAAAAATATGGGTTGAAAAAATGAACCCACCCCGTTTTATGGTGGGTTAGCGGATCAATTCACCAACCCGCCAATTAAAAAAAATTAATTAAAATTCAAAAATAAATTATATTTTATGAATTTTTCTAATATTATTTTATTTTATTTCACACTTCTCTATATTTTTTTAGTCTCAATCTTAAATGTATACAAATATTTGTCAAACATTCTTTAGAAATTTATATATAGATAACATTTGTCATAAATAAAATTGTTATTCTTTATTTTTTCTAGGAAGTACTAAGATAAAAAAAAAATTGGATATCACAAAAATTTAAGGAGTAATGAAATACTACCTAATTATATATATATATATATATATATATACATATATATATATATATATATATATATATATATATAACGCAGCGGGTCAATCCGTCCCGCGACGGGCTGAACCCGTTTTGACCCACTTCTAGGTGGGGCGGGTTGAGGTACCCAACCCGTCCCATTTTGGCGGGTTAATCCGCCGAGCTCAACCCATATTGCCACCCTTAGTTTATAGTATGACACAACCAATTTCATACAACATGATATAACTATTTCCCACAAATATTTTTGGACATATTAGGGAATACGTGGTTTTCTAAAAGATAAAATTTTCAATATTAATATCGCATTTGAATCCTACTTCTTGTTCCACTTTATTATTTGGTTAGACCATTAGGGGCTGTTTGGTACGTGGCTATTGCAGGATTCTCAGGAAACTGAATTTTTCTAAATTTTAAATTTTTGAATATTATCGTAAACTGAATGTAAAAATTATATTTTTGAAAATCGAGATTTCCGGACAAAACAAAATTTCTCCTCTACCAAACGCCCCCTTAAGGATTGGGTTTGATCACACATGACGGTTTTTTTTGAAACGAGTGTTGAAAGATGATGATTGTGCAGGATGCTATGCAAGATGATGAATTTGAGGCTAAATGTTTTAATTGGCTGGGACAAATGAGGAATATCTAAAAGACACTTTGATGTTCAAGTCATTATGTGAGTACGTGAGCTATGAGCTTTTGTTAAGATAAAATAGATTAGATAATCATACTTGAGTCTCAAGTCGGTGGTTAATTTTTCTACTTACGACAATATTTAATCTCATTGGTCAACCGAAGTGGCTCTTAATTATTATCTCGTGTGCAAAACGTCTACTCGTGGACAACATCTTATAGGTGTAACTGGAATCATGTGCTTTAGCCAAGTTATTATGGTAACAGAGCTTTGAGCCGTTGATACCGTAAATACCTGCGAGATGATATTGACATAAGATAATCGCATTTCCTTGACCTTGAAGTCTTAATTCTCGTGCCGCTTGTGTCATGTATGAACTGAACTTTATATCTCGTGTGAAATTAGTTCAGATCAATTATTATGTTTGGAATCTCATTGGTTGTATGGGAAACAAATATGGGGTTTATAAGTCCTTGTGCACTCTCATCCTTTAAGCTAGCTTTTGAGGTGATGTATCCCAAGATTTTTATCAAATAGTATCAGACATTTCACCACGCTCCGCAATCTCGACACACACGCAGGCTGGCTTTGCGCTACTCTTTTACTAGCCCCGGGAAATCACTACAATGCTCGCGTCGCCGCCCACACCGCTCAATTGCAACCGGAAGACATAGTTGAACCATGTAAAAAATCACTTGAATCCAAAACCTTAAAGATGTTAAGTAAAGAATTTTTTAACGATTTATATTATTCTCTAACCTAATATATTATACAAATTAATATTCTTTGCAAATCCTCCATATTAATAACGATTTTTTTATTTTCTTTTTCTTCAGGTCTTTTCTCCTTTTTCCATCAATGGTTCCATATAATCCGTATCATCATTCATATATTAAAAAATGTGCGTGAAAGTAAACTTTCCTCTATTATTATATATATTGTGTTCAAAGAAGAATTTTGAATGAACTTTCATTGCGGTCTTCGATTGTTTTTTTAAAATATGAATATATATAGCTCTTAACAAAATTATTTTATTATTTATTTATTTAATAATAAAAAATTGAAAATGGGAAAAAAAAAGAATCGAAGGGGGAGAGGCCATACTGAGATACTGAAACTGATACTGAGTACTCAGTGCCTAAAAGCAATGTATGAGAGCCATAAGTGGATGGGCCTCATGGGCCTCATGTGCCTTCACACTCTAAGTCGCATCACGCAGACAGTGTCGCGCCACACGATACCCACGTGTCAGACATCCCAACCTGAATTTTTACTGCTCCCACGTTAATTTGTCGTACCAGGATGTCTTTTCCCCCACGCGCTCACCATCTCTCCCACACCTCACCGCCCTACCCAGCCAGCCAACAAACACAAAGCCCTCCTCAAAACAAAAAATAGAAAATAAATTACTACATATTATGTACTTCAATATATATATATATATATATATATATATATATATATATATATATATATATTGTTCCAGATCTATTATGAAGAGTGATCTGTTATTAGCTTGAAGTTGCCCCAATTAATCAAACTGAAATGGTTTACTTTAATATATGAGTGTAAAAAACACTTAAACACAAATGAAATAATAAAAACTGAAGTTGTTAGGCCATCATAATAGTGCTGCTGTCACTGAATTCATGAGTGTCTCGATAAGATAACCAAGTGAGGGGATAACGACATAAGCGCAGCTTTAGTTTCCTAAATGTTGGGGGCGTTAATGGAGGTGTTAATCATGAGCTCTTCCTAATAAATAAAACATACACATAATAGGCTACCATGCGTTTCTATTTTTCTACAATTTTTTTTTTTTATAAAAAATTTAGTAAGCTACTTGAAATTAATATGCATGTGATTTTGTAGACTATTTTGCGTTATTTTAATACTTACATAACCATTTCATACAAATTTTAAAACGATACATCATATACCACGCAACTAACTTAAACAAACATTGTCCTTAGTCCTTACTCAAAAAGGCTTACATAAATAACAAAAGAAAAATCATGCTATCCTAAATAAAATGAACATCAGCGGCAACAAATAGGTAAAAGAAAAAGAAAATGGTACGACACATACACACCAAAGAAGCACAGCAAGGGCGCGTGAATCCAAAACTTGACCCAATCTAGGAGCTTACTTTTTCCAAGATTACGTCATGCACTCGTGGCGGCGCAGTTCATAAGACTTCTCCAAAAAATAAAACTAAAACTAAAACTTACCTATTAATTTCTTCTATAAAACCCCACTAAATAATTAAATTACTGATTAATAACAATAATACCTATCATTTTCAGTATATATATTATTTTTCCCCGTTATATACGGTCTATTAGTAAAGTGTGAGTCTTGGTATGTAACATAAACCATAACGGTTATGATTTTACCTCTCCCTCTTCTCTTCCTTCCCTATATATATTCCTCAACGAACCTCCACCACACTCACCTCTCCTCCTTTTCACACTCACCACAATTCTCCCTAAAGAAATTAAAAAAAAAAAAAAAAAACTTCTCTCCCTTTCTCCCTCTCTCTCTCTCTGACTATTTAGCAAACACTTTGAATCCCAACCATGAATACCCACATTGATAACCTCTGTGTGTTTGCCTTGGCCTCCAAATGCACACAAGAAAACATTGCATGGTCAATTTTTGTCATGGCTTCACTCTGGCTAACCATGACTTTCTTTCACTGGTCTCACCCTGGTGGTCCTGCTTGGGGCAAGTACTACTACTACTCCACATGGAGAAAAACCACCACCAACAACAACAACAACCTTAACCTTCCCTCTTCTAATGTCTCAAACACCAACAACATTAAAAAGAACAACACAATGATTCCTGGTCCAAAAGGGTACCCTTTTATTGGAAGCATGAACCTCATGACCTCACTAGCACACCACCGTATAGCAGCGGCGGCGAAAGCATGCAGAGCCACAAGACTCATGGCCTTCAGCCTCGGCGAAACACGTGCTATTGTCACGTGCAACCCCGACGTTGCTAAAGAGATTCTTAATAGCTCTGTTTTCGCTGATCGTCCTATAAAGGAATCTGCTTACAGCCTCATGTTCAACCGCGCCATCGGTTTCGCCCCTTACGGCGTTTACTGGCGAACCCTGAGGAGAATCGCCGCCACGCACCTCTTCTGCCCCAAACAAATCAAGGCCTCGGAGATTCAACGCTCTGAGATCGCCACACAAATTATCCACGCCTTCACGAACCGCCACAACAACAACCACGGTTCTTTCGCGGTTCGACCGGTGCTGAAGGAAGCGTCGCTAAATAACATGATGTGGTCGGTGTTTGGACAACGGTATAAGGTAGACGAGGCAAACAGTGGAATGGAGGAGCTGAGTGGATTAGTGGAACAAGGGTATGACTTATTGGGTACCCTTAATTGGGGTGATCACTTACCCTGGCTTAAAGACTTTGATGCTCAAAAAATCCGGTTCGCTTGTTCCGAACTTGTCCCCAAGGTGAACCGGTTCGTTGGTTCAATCATCGCCGACCACCGAGCCGACATAACCCAAACCAACATGGATTTCGTTCATGTCTTGCTCTCTCTCCAAGGACCAGATAAGTTGTCTGAATCCGACATGATTGCTGTCCTCTGGGTAAGTTCTTTATTCAAAAATAAATAAAATAATGTAACACTATTTTATTTTATTTCATTGGTCAATGTTTTATGTAAAAAAAATATTGTTTTTGTGTTACTAAAAAAATTAATTAAATTTTTTTTTTGGAGGCAGGAAATGATATTTAGAGGGACGGATACTGTGGCGGTTTTGATTGAGTGGATACTAGCAAGGATTGTGCTTCATCCTGAGGTTCAAGAGAAGGTGCAAGCGGAGCTTGACCGTGTAATTGGTGGTGGGTCACGTGACATCAGGGAGGAGGATGTGACGGCGATGGTGTACCTTCCGGCGGTGGTTAAGGAGGTCCTGAGACTGCATCCTCCGGGCCCACTTCTCTCGTGGGCCCGTTTGGCAATAACTAATACAACCATTGATGGGTATCATGTGCCTGCGGGGACCACTGCCATGGTTAATATGTGGGCCATAACTCGGGACCCAGAGGTGTGGAGGGACCCACTTGAATTTATGCCAGAGAGGTTTTTGGGCAAAGGGGTCGAGTTTTCTGTTTTCGGGTCGGATCTGAGGCTGGCTCCGTTCGGGTCGGGTAGAAGGACTTGTCCCGGGAAGACTTTGGGTTTGAGTACTGTGACCTTCTGGGTTGCTAGGCTTTTACACGAGTTTGAATGGCTACCGTCTGATGATAATGAGGTTGATCTAACGGAGGTGCTGAGGCTCTCTAGTGAAATGGCTAACCCTCTCACTGTTAAAGTGCGCACTAGGCGTGGGTTAAACTTATCTAAGTTAAGTTGAAACTTTGTTTTAATTTAATGTAATGAAAAAAAACAAAAACAAAAAACAAAAAAAGAGAGATGGTTGGTTTCAAATATATGGCACTTGGGAGCCACTAAATGTTAAGAGAATCAGTGAATGAAGGTAGAATACGGTAGAAGACTGGGTTAGCTCTGTCTCTGTTATATGGTCATTAGGTTTTCTATCTTTCTTTTCTTAATTTGTTTTTAATTTGACAGTCAAGTCTCAAGTGTCAACTTGTCTAATTATCAAAGATTAAGAAAATCTATTTCCATTGTAAATATTCCTGAAATTAATACAAGTTTTTAACTTATCTATGTGGGATTATCATCTTAAATATTCTCATTGATCAAGTAAAAAAGTGGTTGTAAAAAGTGGTTTTGGGTTTGTAATTGTGTTATAGAAAATTATATTAAAAGGATTATATGAATAAAATTAAAATTGACACGTTATTTAATGCTATACTAGATAGATATAATACATGCCAATGATTTTCATTGCTGTACTATTTATATTTGTGTTTGGATTATATTTCACAAATTTTTACCTTAATGTAAAAGTAACTTTCTCTTTTTTCACTTTTAGGAGCCTTAAAATTATATCAAATCACAACTTAAATTATACGTGACCAATGAATTCCCTAAATAGAATGTCAAGTACTGGATAATGTATGCTTGTGTTTGCAACTTGGGGTGGTGTTATCAATCATGAAGGTGTTGTCAATTAAACTATATTTTGAATGATTTTGGGAATTTGGCACTATGCAGATACAAAGTACATTGTGTGGGTGGGGGCAACATTAATTTTCTAGTTGTCTTCATATACTACAAGCTTTCTTTGTCAAAAAATTGGACCACAATTGATCTTATTTGTAAAATTTTCAAAGGAGAGGTTTTGTAGCTACTTCAACTATCTCGGTAATTGATAGCAGAGAGGTACAATCTTGCTCAAATTTAGCACATACAGAAGGGAATGTTTTATTTATTACAATGCTTTTTATTAGTCATCTTTTCCCCTTTTGGTCAATTTGAAATTAATTTCATGCAAAGTGGTTTTGCCCTCATTTCAATGAAATTGGTTCCTATCATGATGGTATGATAGGTAAAGGGTCTAAAAATGATTACCACCACCAACATTTTCGGCAATTTTGTCTCCATACGGCTACCTTAATTCCATTTTGTTGACCATGGTCTTCAAATATCATATTTTTGTCAACTAAGACTTTATTCTCTAAATTCCTCTTCCAGAAAATGGGTTTTGATTTTGAATCTTTGCAATCAAAATAATAAATTGTTTTAGCTAAATAAACCACCTCTTCTTCATGAATGTGAAATTGGACTCAAAATCACTACAACCATTATAAGAAACTTTTTCAATTAAATATTGTGAACAAATTAAACAATTCACTTTAGTTAACTAGTAGTGAGCCCTGAAGAAAAGAACTATGACTAGTTCATCAAAACTAACACGTTTATGATCTTAACTGGGCCCAGCCTTGATGACCTTCCTTGGGTAAGAATCCAAACCCATTAAATATCAGGTTCCAACTTTTTAGGAAACAACATGAATATTGCAATGACAACTCCAATTTTGTGAAGGACATAGGAAAAGATGTTAATGTTTTTGTTCTGTTTGACTTTGGTTTTCTCTCTTGTATTTCCTTTTTTATAATAAGAATATGATTTCCTTTCAATTTTTTCTTACTTGCCTTTGCATTCACTTGGCGTCAACCAACTAGTTTGGGATAAATGTATTATTAATATTAATCTTAATGTTGATTAAGAAGATACCTTATTTACTGAGTGTAGTATACTATGAATCAGGGCTACAATGATGCTCGTTTGACAATTATATCTTTGCATAATTAGCTTAAAGCAAACTTGATTAAGAATAGTTAAAACACATATCGTTATCATTAGCTTTATACATATAACGTATTGACTCTTGAATAATGATGTACTGTAATGATTCTTGTTTGACAAGTAAATCTCTCAAGCAGAATTAGCTTAAAGCAAGCTTGATTAAGGTTAGTTAAAAACACCTATCACGAGCATTAGCTTTGTACATATACTATACTGATTCATCAACACTGATGTACCGTATACTGTCAAATAAGCACACACTTTACACCAATATTAATATTTGTTTATATTGATAAATTGTCGCATCAACTTTTATTTAAACCCAGATTAAGTTTTTCTACTATTAGATAAGCAACCGAAAAAAGAACATCACTTGTCACCGGTATTTAACAAATAATTGTGTTTAATAATGATGTAGTGTACTATGTGAGAAGTCCTTTTGTCTAGCTTGTTCTTATTTCTGGTCCAACATGGTGGCAATTTTTTTATATTTTGCTTACTAGTCTACAAGAGGGCAAGCCTAGAACAATAGTAAAACTGCTCTTTTGTTAATGAAAGGTCACAAATTCGAATTCAGGGAGCAGTCTCTTTGCAAATATATAATAGTAAAGTTGCGTACAAGAATTATTCTCATCTCACCCTCGCTAGTGGAGGTTTAATGAGGAGTGGTGGTTGCTTTCTAGTCTACCATTTACACTGTTTTCACTCACTACAATGAACTGGGTTTTTTCATTTATGTTAAAAGCCATCTTCCTTTATTCAAAAGCAGATTTTAGGAAGTAAGTTTATAAAAACCATATTCACTTATGCATTCACTTTTAGAAAGAAAGGAAAATGAATTGAGCTTAAATGTATGCATGAGATCATATGCCAAAACTAATGACGAATATGAGACATCCATCACTAATTGCTTTATTAATGATAAGTAGTGTTGGATAAACTAGGTTCGCTTCGTAGTCTTTAAAATTGAGTAAATGTTGAGATCAAACAAAGATTGAACAGTTAGGCCTTACGTGTACCTTGCTTGTAAGTTGTTTTTCCCATTTGGCTCATTTTATTAAGACGGTTAAAGGAACAAATGGAGCCTATGACAATGATCTTAGAGACAAATAGGCCTTTTCTTGTAGTGAGTTTGACAAAGACTTCCCAACAATTTCAAGCTAAATACATCAATTTAAAAATAGCCTCGAGTAAAGCCTCAACATGACCCTCTCCCTTAGTTAAGGCTTGCCCCATATTTCACTAGACATAAACACTGACCAGAAAGCAAATCCAAGCACAATGAACAAAATGGTAATTGGATAATGGAATTCAAACTAAGATGTTTTCAATATTCCATGTACTTCAAATCCATTTCAATATGTTTGATAACTATACATGTGGTAGTTGTTCTGTTTTAATTTAATGATAATAACCTTAATTATATAGATATCTCAAATAATAAAATCTTTGTATCAGGCCGAGGCCACGAGGATCAGAGTAATTAATGGTTCTTCTGTATGGGTTTTGAGGTTAAGGACCATTTATTGATGGGATTGTGATATTGACATAATACAATATATGTTTCATTTGGATTAACTACCTAGTCTTTTGGGTGGTTAGCGGAGTGCATACAAATAGTTCCAAGTGTATTATATAATGACAAAGAAAATGAACTATGTATCAAGTAGAGGAACAATGTTTTCTTTGCAATTTAACAATAAATTATATATACTAACGATGTGATTGCATGATAAAACTTGGCATTCTGGGGGTTCAACAATAATACAGGGTATCATTCATGCACTATGTAGTTGTACATTTAATGTGGTGTTTATTTTTATGGGACTGAAATTGTGTTAGAAACAGTGCTTGAGAAAAAAGAACAGAATGATATGTCCTCAGCCCAATCAAAAAGATTAATCATGATCAAGATGAATTGCACTAATAATATTCCCTTATTGATTGTGACATAAATGTCCTATGACAATCTTTTTACTTTCCTTTATGTCTGTTTGGTGAACTTACCTATTCACAGTATCTAATCTGATTAGGCCTCCAACCAAGTAATGTGGCATATCCCCCAAATCTCACATATTAGAGACATAGTTAACGAAAAAAAATCAACTCAATAAGTTCTTAATAATGTCATTTTCTACAATAATTTGGGTCTAATAGATCCAAGAAGGTTTGTTTTAGTTTGAAGTTGTTTTTCTACACGCAAAAGAAACTTAGTGCAACACTACCATGTAGAGAGACTAGATTGTCTTTCTCAATGTTTAGGATTATATAGATCAACATAACTATTTGTATTTACTATTCACATTTAATAGGTTTGTCATTGAACTTTCGGAACTATTTCAATTGTTATACACATAACCAGCCTAAAACCATGCACATGCAGCTACACAAAAGTTTTAAGGTTTCTACTAGACTTAGTGTGACATCTTAGGAAATAAGTGGGCTCAGACACCACATCTCAATCTAAATCATTAAAGAATTAGGTTTATATGTCCTTTCACATATATGGTATTCGTTTAATCCATTTTTAAACAAAGTTATATTTATCTTATTTTGCATGAGAGAAACAAATTTTTTACACACACAAAAGAGGGGTAAGTCCTACTTATAATTTTAATTTTATTGCATAAGATAACTTTTTTTCTACAATATAAAAAACTTATTTCCTTTTAAACAATGTATATCATCAAGGGAAGAACACTTCTCCAATTGCTCTCCCTTCCAATTCCATGCTCCACTTTTTTTTTAAACAATGAAACAAGAGAAGTTTGAATCCCTATAATCAAACATTTGGATTCTCAATAAACACACATGTATATAATCAAACATTTGGGTGAGATACATTTATTGGTTTTTAATAGTTAGAAATATATGTCACTTTCCACAGCATGCAAGGTCTGTCATACAACTTACTAAACATATTGAATTAAAAATTGAATTAATGAAACGATTACACTACAGTAAGGATACTATGAAGACTGTTTTAATTATTAAAATTCATAAAATAAAATAAAATAAATGAAATTTGGCATGACATTTTTATCTCTGTAAAGGTTTATCCATCATGGAGAAAACATGAAAAATCTTTCCAAAATCCAATCAAATAGGAAAGACAGTGACACCAACAGCAGTAGAAAGCATGAGTCTTTATCCTATTCCTGTCTCATTCACAAAAGAATCCCCCATCATATCCATCCCATAAAAAAAAAAGAGTGAGTAAAAAGAAAATTACCGATTAAAACCAAAAATAAAAATAAAAGAGGTTGTATTATAATGAAAAGACCTCGAATGGTTTCTGTCGTGTCGAATCTTGAAAGTAGAAAGAAAAGAAAAGAAAAGAAAAAACAGCGACCTGCAATTCAATTGAAACATAAGAAGCGGGGACAAATGAAAGTTGTTAAGTTGTAACAATTGATCGGTTCATATTTAGGCCAAACAAAAGTGGAACAAACAAGATTTTGCGTCTGCCAAATGCCATCTTAACTCATAAAAGAATAGGGGTCCAATGATGTTTACATTTTGTCATGGATTTGCATTCAGTGGGGGACCAAATCTTTTTAACTTTATACTCTTTTTTATTTATATCTATCTCTAGTTCTCTACACACTGTTTTCAAACCATAAGGTGGCGATCTCATATGGGCCGCAACTTTAGTCGCATATCAAACGGATTTCTAAGCAATAGACCACCATTAATTTTTGGGCTTATAGTCTTTTGTGTCTCCTACATATACATTTTTGAATGTGGGAAATTAGTGAGATTTTTTATGAGTCTATAGCAGGCAACATGAGAAACCATTCTCCCATAATTTTACAATATGAAATTCAGTGTTTTTATTTTATTTTGCGTTTTTAAATTGTTTCAATGGTTTTTTTAGAGCTATTTTTATTTTTATTGAAAGAAAGAAATACACAATAAAAATTATGGAGGGAAAAAATGTGAGATTTTTTTTAAAAATTTAAATTAAAAAAAAAACTAATTTTAAATAAAATAATCATCTTTAAAAGAACAAATATTTTTTTCCATAAACAAAATTCTCCTTATTAATTCCAATCCATTTTGATTAACCTTTTTTTTTTTTTTATGTATTTCAGCATTAGGAAGAGAGTCAACGTGGATATCAAAGAAAAATTAATTTTTTTGCGGGAAAAGTAAAATACTTTTTTTTAGGGTTTTACACGTCATAGAGAAAACTTGTGAGCTCCACCACTTGAAAAAAAAAAAAATGTGACACAATTATCGAAAGGTGTGTAGGAGAAAAAACTTATCTCATATAACATGAAAATATTTTTTTTTTCCCTTTTTTTAACCCGATACTAGCTCAATATGCTAACTTAACAGAAACCATATCCCAGGAACAATAATATATTTAAAACATGAGAATATTATTTCTCATGTTACGTGAAATGATTTATCTCATGTAACAAAAATAAATGAGAAGAAGAGAAAGAAAAATAAATAAATAAATCCTATCTTCTTTTTTTGTGTTGTTGAGACAATTTGTCTTGCTTAAAATGAGAAACAATATTTCCATAAAACAAATACTTAGACCCTCAGCTTATCAAGCAAACAAGAAAGATAGATGTTTCTAGGTGTTTATGACTTTGGTTACCTGCTATTAACGATTCAACATTTTTTAAATTTTTTTTTTTTATTTACCCATGGCTACACAATTAAACATGGCATACAACAGATAATAGCATAGTTTGTACCCTAGTCATTGTTTAATAAAATTCATTTCAAAAGATTCACATGAAGAAAGAGGCCATAGCACATCTAGAAGACAAGAAGATCCATGCATGATATAAGCTAGCGAAATAAAATTAAACCATACCCTCCCAAAAAATAAAAATAAAAAGAAAACCTGCCTCCAGTTTATTACCACTATGATACTGCATTAATATATATATTATGAATAATAGATGTACCAATACTATGGCCCTAGCTCATATTCAATTTTCATGATTCGTTGGACTTGGTATTTTTGCCATAGTACTGAAGAGCAAATGCAAAGCCCAATATCAGCAATGGCAACAGGTACTGCAAGATCTTCAAAACAATTCCAGAAGATTCATTGTTGTGGGCAGGTGCTTGTGTTGGTGGTGATGGACTGTTGTTAACTTTTCCTGGAAGTGTGGTGGTGTCAACCTTCCCAACATAGTACTTTTGCATCATCTCTATTGCTGAGTCACTGTGGCCAACATCTTCAAAATCAGTGGTGGCATCCTTCTCTGTGTAAACACCAGAAGATTCTTCTTAGCATATGTCTATTATTTTCTACACTTCTCTATTATAATAATTCTTTTCTTTTCTTTTCTTTCTTCTCATCAGCTGGTGGATCAGAGGAAATAGTTTTCTATTTGCAGATTAATAAGATGAACCAAACAAGAGAAACTAATTACCTGCAGCAGACAGCAAAGCTTCATCACCTCCTGGATGATCATCCAAAAATGGGGTGACATCATATACCTGATACAATGGAATGTATGTTAGGTAAACTATTTAGATATATATACTACTACTAGTCATAAAGTACAAATCTAAAGGAAAGTCTACTTAAATTTTTAGATACCAATTGTAAGGTGGGAAAAAGAGAATATGGAAAGAATTTAGAGGCATAGACAACTTTAAGCATGTATTTGACATCTAGAAACAAAGTTACGAATTAGCTAATAATTTTTTTTTTTTTTGGCCCTTTCTTCAGTGCAGAATATGATAGGATATGATATATATGCTATTATGTTGCCAATAAGGAAACCTTTTCTTTTGCTGCTGATAATTAGGAGAGGAATGATAGGTCTATGGTCACTAGAGTCCACACTAGTGGCTGGCATGTGTGCTCAGAATTGGGGAATGTATGAAGGAATTCTGTTATGAGGTCATGAATAAAAAGGGGAATGGGTCACGTAGGCAGGTAGGCATTCTGTGAGTGAATTTGCGACACCTCTGGTGTAATGGGAGAGCCACTGACTTGTCAAAGTGTCAGCAATATTTTCTTTCTTTTGTTACCATACGAATCAGAGCGGTGGTAAAACTGTTCATTCATGACTGAAAGGTCATGGGTTCGAATCCAGGAAACAACCTTTTTGCAATTATGCAAGGGTAAGGCTGCGTACAAGGATTTCCTCCACCCCACACTCGCTAGTCGAGTTTAACGGGGAGTGGTTTTTTTGGTTTGTTACCATACACTGTAATCAGGATTTCCCAGAAACTATTTATCAATATACATTCAGTTCTTTCTTTTTATTCACTTTGATTCTATGGTGCCTATCAAGGAATAACAATGATTTCCAGAAAAGATAATCTTTGAAATCAGGATATTTACCAACATAATTTTTATGTTGGAAACAACAAGTGAAGGGTATTGAGTAGCGTTGGAGGTATTTTGAGAAGATCTCAGATTCTCGATACTTGACGAGGGTGGAGTAGTGATGGATGAGAAGTTTGTTTATGGAGCCATTAATACTTCCCATAATGTTGGAATATGTGATACCATGTAAAGTTTTGAGATGAAAGGAAAGGATCATTTATTACTCATTAACTTATTATATTCAGCAGTCATCAAAATTAAAAATAAATAAATAAATAATGTAGACAAACAGATCATATAAATTACAACTAAATCATAAAGGGCCTACCCAGTGCCGAAGCAACCCACACTGTGGGGTCTGGGGAAGGGAATTTCTAGGCAGCCTTTCCCCTGCTTTGCAGAGAGGCTGAGTCGAACCCGAGACCTCCAGCGCACAATGGAACCACTCCACCATCGCGCAATACAACTAAATCATATTTTTCAAATATTTTATTATCTTCTATCACAGAAGTAGGTGGGTTAGTCTGTGATGGATATGGAGATTTTTCAAATTGACTCCTTTACTTCAGTTGATGGGGCTTGTTGCTGGACAAATTATGGACTGAATTTTAACAGAATTCTTTAACCAGGGATACCGAGGATTTTGCGACATTTAGGGGTGTGAGGGAGGTTCATATACAAGAAAATGTGGACAAAGTGGATTTTAACTTAGGTCACTGGATAGGAAATGATTAATCTATCAAGAGCAGGTTACTTAGAATGTTGAGTATACAGATGTGATTCTCCCATGTTCATATACTGTGCTTACTTATATTTTTTCAAAATCAAGGTGGTCAATGTGAGAATGAGGATCTTGGTGATCCCTTACCAATTCAAGCTGCAGATGATTATACCACTAAGTTGGCATCCTCTTGTTTACTGGGAAAAAAAAAAAAAAAAAGTTGGCATCCTCTTGATGGACATAAGTCAGAGGAAAATGGCTTAGCCACTAACAGTTAATGTGGTCTTTCCCAATGGTGGGAAGGTGATTTTGGTGGAATCTCCAAATTCTCATTAACAGAAAAACTGGTTGAAGAAAGAATTGCAGAGACTCGCAACAATCGTGAATTACGGAGGACAGAAAGATTGACAGCTCTGAATAAGCTGTGCTCATGAAGTTTTCAAGCTGGAAGATTAGATGTCTAGGAAACCTGGGGAAGCAGGAAATTTTTGGCTTAGCTTCATTTGGATGAATTGTAGTTTGAAGAATTTCTTCTCTCTTTGTTTTCGCTTTTTAATGTTATATTTCCTCTCTCTCTTCTTCTCTTCAATGATGTTTCTTCTTTTATTAAAAAAAAGTATACAGGCTAATAAATATGCAACAGCCAACAAGAAACATTGGGTGGTAACTTTGGAAACTACAGTACAGACAAACAACTTGCTCTGACAAATGGTATTGGGTTTGTTTTCAACAAAAAATTGGATAGAAAAGGACATACTAGTTTACTAAGCATGTCAACTCAGCCAATGTTATGACAGTGCAAGGAGCAATTGTAAAAGAAAAAAAAAACTCATGTTACTTCAATTTATTCAAACGGGAGAATCCTATTCCTCAATAAACAATTTCTCATATCAATGTCACTTAATGAAAAGGCTTTGAAACCAGTAAGAAGTTATAGATCAGATTCATCAGAACAAGATCCACAAGCATCTATACATATAGTCTCCTTGGTAACTAGGAGCAAATTAACTCACATTCCTTAACTCTACCCTCTTTCCTATAATTCTAAAAGGCATAACTCTATTTAGGATTAGGTGACACTGATTTGTCACAGAAATAGCTATGAAAGAACTTTTCCCTCCCAATTCTTGTTTGTTACCTCAACAAAAAACTTAGAATACTATAATTCTAGATATTTTGTGCACGTGCAGATGCTTCAATGCCAAGTTGATCAGAAATTAGGCAATCCAATTTTAATAAACAGCATAAATATGCCTTTTAATTTAATTATGCCCAAACAACTCTCTAAATCATTAAACAGCACATTCTTGTCTCAAACCCTGTGATTCATCCAGCTTTCAATGATTTTCAAATGGAAATAATTTGTGTTTGAGAAATATAAAAATTTGATCCTCACCGCCCCCCATTTTCTAGTTGAATTAAATAAGCACAAAGTAAACAAAAAAAAAAATGGGCCTGTATAATATCCACGCTTTAATCCCAAAGGGCTATTAGGGAGTGTGTTAGATAATAAAACCATTAAAAAACCCATCACCTAATAACTTAAGCTTTTGGGTTGAATTGGTTCGTTACAATTTGCATCATCAAAACAACCACCGAATGTACCCATCAAAATATATTATATATTCATACTTAACAAAGTTTCCTCGCACACAGTTCTGAATCATTTATATAGAACCATTTTTCTCCTCCTATTTATTGCAGCTAACACAGTTGATACTTCTATTTTTCTAAAGTTCAATCACTCTTATAAACCATGTAATGCACTTGATAACAAATATTTTGCCCCTACTTTTTCATTTTTCTTCTTTCTTATCCAATTTCAATGAGAGATTCTACATTTTCCTGATATCTTTATTCTGAGTAATTCTGCCTTCTTCCTAATTTATTATTCGTATCTTAGACTTTGGAATCATATTAAGTTCAAAATCTACAATATTGTTTTACAGCAAACTTCAAGTTAAATTTTATCTTATTTCAATGTTGACCATTTATTCAAAAAGTAAGCTATTTAGCACCAATATTACGATGCAATTAGATGCCATATACAAATTTGTGACATGATCAACTCACACCGGTGTATCAAATGATGGTAATTTTATCGGAAATTTATAATTAATTGATAGATATAATCCAATAAATTACAACCGTTTGATGTGCGGATATCAACGGTTAAAAAACAGTTAAGATTGAATGCAGGTGTAAGTTGATCGTGACCCTACAAATTTTACAATTTGTAAATACAGGGATTGACTTAATGGCTTCTATTGGAACCCCTTCCCACCCTTACTACTTGTGCTAAACGGCCAAGGCAAAAGTTTCTTGAATATATTGAACCCCAACTCAGTCCCCTTCCAAATCACGCAAGGGGAAATTTTGAAGCCACACAGGATCATTTATAATTCTCAATCAAATCAAGTAAGAAAAAGTCTTGTATTCAATAAAATGGTTCATATTGAACAAGCAATTAACACACATCATATTCATCCCAGAAACTGAAACAGATCAACTATGAAAAACAGATCAACAGAAACTCAAGCAAGACAACAAAATTGACCTTTCCATTGACAATAATCCAGCAATCCTTCTTATGATTGTGCTTAGCCACCTCCTCAAAAGCAAAAAGTTTGGAATTTGAACCCATTGCTGCACACAGAAATCCAAGCACACCCCACTTCCAGATTATTCATAAAATACAACACACAAGAGGGAATAAGAATGTTCAACAATGAAAACCCACAAAAATTTCAGATTACAGAGAGTCTCACAAAAAAAAAAAAAAAACAACTTTTGAAGGGATAGTTGAAGAAAATTTCTTACACGGTGATGACAGAAAAGAGATGGGCTTTCAGACAGCACTTAGTGATGTTGTTGTTTCTCTCTCTGCCCAACAACCTCAAACTATTTGTACACATAATCTTGAAGTAAAATTATGTCACTCTCAGTCAAACATCGTTTCTAACGCTGGCATCATTAAATTAAAATTATTAAACTTTACGTTTCTTTTTGCTCCTCCAACCAGGTAAAATTAAAATGTATTAAAAACAACAGTAAAATTAAATTAGCTAAACTGAATCTTACTTAATTATGATAATAAACCATTTTTAATTACGAAACTACTATCTCGCATTAAATAGTTCCTTTTTTTTTATTATCTTGAAAAATTAAGTTTCAAGAAAACAGTCTTGAAAAATATATATTATTATTTAACTCAACTAAGCACATGTAATATAAAATTATTTATCGTCACCTCAAATTTTAGGATAAGCTGTTATGTCATTTCTAAATAGGTATTGGTCCTATCATATAGCATAAAATCATTTGAAAGAATATCAATTGTTCTGATTATCAGCCATTATTCTATTCTCAATTCTTTATCTTAATACATTTTTTCATGTGTTTAATGTCTTTTCTCTTATAAAAAATAAAATTATTTTTCATACAAATATAAAAATGTATAGGATTTATATTTATATTTTATTTTTTTTCCTCAAAAAATCTTACTGATCCCATATATTTTTATATGTATAAAAAATAATTTTATTTTCTATAATATGATAAATATCAAACCTTTTATTCATTATTATTGATTTTATATTTGAACGGTTGAAATCATCTCGAGATTTAAATTATAAAAATTCTATCCATGCAACTTTCATCCGAAATTCACTTCACATTGCTTTTTTTTGTTTGCCATATTTTTGTTGGATTTTTTTATGCAAAAAATGTGTCATTTAAAAAGATATAAAATTGAGTCATTTTAAATGAGAGAAATAAATAAATTATAAGAGAAAAAGAGAGTGAACAAAAAATAAAATAAAGATATAAATATTACATCTTTGTGAGAATGAAACGACATAAATTATATTATTTAACAGAATAATATTTCTGTAGTTATTGCAGATAAGTTATCTGTATTTTCTTCCAAAACGACATTGTTTTGGAATTAAAAAATTAAATAATTATAAAGACTATAATAACTCTAAAATAAATTAAAATTACAAAAAGACCATGATTTCCGTCCCTGAACAACAGGCTTACTGCGGATAACTTATCTGCCGTAATTTGCAGAAAAACGAACTCATCATTTAATAGTACAAACATTTTTCCGCGCTTTATTTGCACCATACAATGCTCAGCTAACATGCATTAAGTCAATTATTATCCAAAACAATGCATAAAGGCGTGACAAAAGAAAATAAACCTCAACCATAGCCACAATATTAGAGACATCCACTTCTTACGTCAAATTAAAGCCAACAAAAACAAAATCACATGGTTCAATACGAAGAAAATCTAAGTATTTAATGTTACATATATCATAAAGAAATCTACATTTCAAGATAAACAGTGACACTCCAGAGCTCAACATTAGCTCGTACCTGCAACAAGCCAAAAACGTCAATCCAATTAAACTCAATAATTTCAATGTTATAATGAATAAAATAGATAGAGAGAAACAAAGGAGAGGTATACAATATATGATGCTAAAACAGTGTCTCCATCATCCTGATTTTTAAATTGATTAGAATATGTTATTTTTGACCTTCTCGCTTGGACTTTTCAGGGTTATTTTGTGGGAGGGACCCATAGTTAATAAATAATTAGTTTATTACTATCATATGGAAAATGACATTTGGAAAACGGGTTTTTCAACACTGCTTCTCTTTTGTCTGAAAATGCATGCATACCCTATAGTTTGATATATGTAAATTTACTAAGCTATAGCATGTTGAATCGTAAAGATCTTGTGGTTTAAGGAAAAAAGAGTATATGTTATATGGTTTCCTAAGTCCTAACTCCTAGCAAGCAAATAATTTCATTGAGATAAATAAAGAGAATTCATGCAAAACCACATTTTTTACCTGTCAAGGTTTCTGAAAAAGAGTAAGAATGTGCAAAAGATAGCATCTCTAAGTTAAAAATATGAAGGGGCATTTAAAAGGTAAAGATAATAGAGTGCATTAAACTCTATTTTCTTTTTTTTCTAATAGGTCAAAATTGTGAGAAATCCTATGTGAAAACTTTGTAGAATTAGGTCTGTTCCCTGTGTTTTTATGTTCCAAACCCAAAAGAGAAAAATAGAGTGGCAAGATTTGTTGGGATTGATAAGATCAAAACTCTAAGGATATCCACAACTTTATCAGGATAACCAATTAAAACGTATCTGTTTGTCAGGTGTTGAGAAAACAAAAAGAAGAAAAACCATATTAAATACACTAATTTAATTAGTATATGGAAAACACTTTTAACAAATCATAATCTGTGGTTTGCCATACCTTAAATTGGAAGAAAATAACTTGGGCCTTCATTAATTATCCATGATTCCTGCTGTACTGACTTCCTGGCCTTCTGGTTTGTGATTCTTAACATCAAGATCAGGATGGATTTTCCTCTTTAACATCTTCTTCATCAGCTACAACATTACAAATTAGTTAATCAAACCAATTCATGCAAATCCTCAATTAAGTGGCTTAATTAAGCTTGAGCTCTTCAACACTATATATGTTCCTAGAAACAACAACAACAAAAAAAATTGACTTGGTCGAATTTGTTAAAATTCACAAGGGTGTTATAATCTTGTATATAGCCTTCAGCAAGTGCATGAGGCATGACTTACTTTCTTGATTTCTTTCATTGGATGAGGATTGTCCTTAACTCGGGGAATTAGCTTCTTGGCAAAAGAAAGTCCATGCTTTGTTTTAAGGCTTTGTTTTTCACTTGACTCAAGCATGGCTTTGGCAGGGTCCAGTTTTAACTTGACATCAGAATCAGCCAAGAAGAGGTCATATAATGTGATCCTTTCCCCTTTCTTCTTCTTTTGATCAATCTCCTCATCGTTTGATTCCATGACTTCATGAGAAATCACAGGTGGAGCTTGAACAATTTCGTTGAAGGTCCTAACCACTTCCACAGGTGGAGCCTGAACAATTTCATTGAAGGTCCTAACCACTTCCTCTGTCCTAGCATTGGCATCATGGTTTTCACTAACAACATCCTCAAAGTTGTGCTCAAATGTGTTGTGCATCAATGGATTCAGGTCCTCTTGTTCAGCATTATCTTGATCATCGTCAGTTTCCAAAGCAAAGTATTCTTTGCTATGGTTGATGGACTTCAAGGGATCATAGCCAAGAGTACCAATGGTTAGAATGCCATCATTCCAACCACCAAGCAAATCAGTAAGGGCAACTTGTTTTGGCAAGGCTTGACTATCCACATTGTTTATTGTAGGTTCATTCTTTTTCATGTTTGAAGCAAACCCATCTGAGTAAAAAAAAGAAAAGAAATTCATTAAAAAGAAGGATGAAACTCTTGAAAGAAAAGAAAAATAATTAATAGCTATCACGAAGATTTGTTTATAGGCCTCATACTAATTTGGAGCATGTAAAGGATGTCATTTAAGTTAGAAAAGAGAGAAGTTTAAGTTTTAGAGGTCAAACCTTTAGGAGGGTTATGGTGAAACCTCTTGTGCACCCAGTTGAAAATCTGTGACAAACAATTCAGGAAGATCACAGGAATACATATAAGAACACTGTATATGATTTCCACATAAAGGACTAAAGGAAAAGTAAAATAAATTGAATATGCATGAGAAATAAAATGGTTGTATGCATGGTTACAGTCACCTTCATTGTTTTTCTCAGAAAGGTTGTCAGAGAATGGGGCTATGCAGTCTATTGAAATGGAGAGAGTGAGGGAGTGAGGGGGTCATCATAATGAGGGACAAGAATAAAACTCACAAAGGGGACCAACATGGATGGTTGAATTGGGCTCTGCCACGTGGCCACTGGACCCTTATTGTTGGCCTATGTAGCTCAGCCATGTGTCTGTGTTCATAGCATAATATTTTTGATAATTTTTATTTAAGGATCAAATTGATGTAATAATCTTTTGATGACCAAAATGATGTTCTAAAACTTATGGAGAATGAAAATAACAGTTACATAATACACAGAATGTAGCACCAAGTATCAAGTTTGAACATCGAGTTGTCAAAGTATATCCGACCATGGGATATTGATGGTTGTTGTACAGTCACATTGATTAACTTATTTTCTATTCTATATCGCAATGTAGGAAAGCTTTTTTTATGTCTATTGATGATGGTTTATACTTGTTATCCATAAACACGTAATTGACAATCAGTGGTTTTAAATTTAATCCTTAATTTTCCTCACACAATAGAGGTAGCTCATGTCATTTTTCCAGTGTTTAATTTTGATAAATTATCATGTATTAACTTCTTTCTCATCTGATTCTAATAAATTGTCATGAGTTCTCAGTATTACATGTCAATGCTAAAATTAGGTATAACATGTATATAATGCTAAACATAATAAAGTTTTTTCTTCTTCCCATGATTTATCAAAGTTGTGCTGTGGAGCTGAGGTATTTCCTTCACTATATTTACGTGTGAAGCTACTATAGACTATAGTTGCTGGCTACAGCCCTCAGGTTGAAGGGCAAGTGCAGTGCTTTTTTTTTCTTTTCTTTTTCTGTTTGGTTTAAAATTAAATGGGAAAAGGTTTCTTTATATGAACATAGCAAATCACCCCCTATTTTATATCAAGATTTGTTAGTACAAAGCTTTACCTTTTTGATGTATGGCTAATAGCTTGATATTCACATGGAAAACAAATCATCAGGAAATAGAAGCTTTTTTTTCTTAGCACATAGAAAATAGGAACTAAAATTATATGGTTAATTCATATTTTTCCTTGATTGCAGAAGAGTTCCTTTACTCTTCTTTTTGTCACCTCCAAGTTTCAAGATTGAATGTTTTCCTAATATATGTTAATTATGTACATTTTGATGGAAATACTTATCAATCAAGGGGCTATACTTTCCACATGAATTAGGTATTTTTCTTCTCTCTTGTTTGTTGTCCAATAACAAAAATAAACTATAGTACAACCAAGTCTTCCTCAATGCTGCCATGTCTGCCGTAGCCATGTAGTTTTTAGCTTTTATAAGGACAAATTTGAATATATTCATGTTCATAAGAAATTATAAGTAGCTCTCTATTATTCAGAATACTAAGCAGAAGAGGGGCATTCTAGCAGACAAAGCTCCTACAAGGGTAAATATTAGAGTATAATATAAACCATTAAAAATGCCCTCGTGAAACAGCTAATTCACCCAACAGCTTATTCAGACATTCACAAGTGTAAAGAACCAATTCAATCCAAAAGCTTAAGCTATTGGGTGAGGCTAAATTAATGGTTTAATATATTTGGACACGCCCCCTCACACGAGAGCTCACTAGGCTTAAAGGGTGGACAATGCACAGGCCCACCTACCTGTGCGAAGAAAGAAATTCCACTAGAAATAAAGTGGGGGGGCGGTGAGGATCGAACCCGGTACACCGAGGCTCTGATACCATGTAAAAGAACCACTTCAACCCAAAACTTTAAGGTATTGGGTGAGGCTACATTAATGGTTTTATATATCGAACGACAAGAAAGAATGTTCCATAAAAGGGAAAGCTTAGCTGGAGAATGTTTCCAAGAGGGCTCAGCCAAGAGGAAACAGAGTTAAGGGAAATATGGATGGCATTCAAATGATGGCACTGTGTTTTGACACATAGCTAATTGTCTGGTTGCAAATGCCTTGCACCAATTGGATGACACTCTTGATCCATGGTCTTTCAATGGGTCTGAGTGTTGCCTTAAAGACAAAGAAATTGCTTTGGATTCTTATTATAGCCAACTGGTATCATCTTTTAGCTGCTGAAGGGGCATGTCACATATATGTGCATATATGGTCAAGTGGGTCATATGATTACTGAGTACTTCCAGGTTACTAGCTTACAAATTTGAGTGATAGGTAAAGCAAATTTTCAGGATGGAAAAAAGGACACATGACTCTACAGTTATAACTTTTAAATGATGGAACACATTTGAAACTCCTACCTTAGAAACCCAGCAGATTTAAACCTTTTTTTAAATGAACTTTACATGGATGATTCAATTTTCTTTGTTAACTGCTCTTGTGGACAAAAGGGAATATCTAATGGAAAAATTAAAGAGAATAGCAAACAAAATACATCAAACAAGACTCATATGTTACAAAATAAGGATCATGGCCTCAACTAAGATCAGTAGTAGTGTTGCCATGAAGAAATGATCTAAATCAGCTTTGTAGAGAAGGAGATTGCTGGTCTCCAAGTTTAGATGGATTATTGCATCATGTTTAGCTAGTAAGTATCCATTTGAAATTTAAATATGCAGTTATGCACGTATAACAAAATACTAGAGAGAGAGAAAAAAGATGAACAACTAGAGTCTAGAACAATATAGTTTCCTTTCATGTTTAATTTTGTAATCTCACTGATAATGGGAATATGACACTCTGAGACACCATTTACAACAAGTTTGGCTACATGGACCGCACCACTTACCAGCTTCTTTCCCAATTTAATTTCCATTTTTTCCCCTTTCCCTTCAATCATTCCAACTAATTTCTTAGGCATGTAGAGTCTTCATTGCTCATGTTAAAGATGAATGTTATGTTTGGAGTTTGGATATTCACCTAACAGCAACATGTTATAATGTGGGGCATGTTGATTCTGTAACATATTTACATGTTAACCGTTGAAGTGCCTATTCAAACAGGTCACACAAAAAGAAGAAGAAGCTGGCTAGATATGTCAAATCCTCTAACTAATGAGAATGTTATTACTAGTTCTATAACACAGCTATGGAACCCCACTATAAAAAAACCCTTTATATTACAACTTAATGCACCTTCTTAGTTTTACTTTATCTACTACAAAGACTATGTACACGAATAAACAACATAAAATTATGAAATTTAAAAGGTAGGCTCTTTTGTTTCAAGGTACCTTGTCCGGGTGTTTCTCAATGGATTATTGTGGTGAATAGGTTCAATGGTCCATTGGAATGCAGGTCATGTTCTTATCATTGGCCACATAATGAAAGAAAGGCAAAACACTTTCCTCTCTTTTAATCCTGTTCCATTTCTGCCTTATTTTATATTGTTCAGCACATGCAAGATTTTGCACAGCACATAACCACATATAAAGTTTGGAAATTATTGCCCGAGGCCAGATATGAAGAAGGAAAGTATTACACATATAAACAGTGTACTAATAAAATTTGGATAAACATTAGGAGTAAGTAGTGACAGATTTAGGTAGCTTATAGACTGTTATATGTAACAGTTACCAAAGTGCCACTGTTGGCAAATTTTTTTATCAAATTGTCATGCAAACAGTAAATTTTGTCAAAATGTCACGTGGCATATTTCGCTACACTGTGTAGCGAAATATGTGTGCAAATAATTCGTTACACAGTATAGCGAAATATGCCACGTCAGAACCAAAAATGCCATGTGTCAAAATTGGAGAAATTCGCTACACAGTGTAGCAAAATATGTAACGTGGCATTTTGGCAAAATTTTCTGTTTGCGTGATAGTTTGGTAATTTTTTTTTCCAACAATAACAAAATAGTGACTGTTCCCTTTATATGGTGTAAAAGGGCGAGTCCGGAACTATGGTAAAACTAATTGGTGATGAATGAAATTGAGTTTGATATTTCTTTAACATAATGAAAAATATGAGTAAAGGTGATAATTAATAGTTACATAATTGGTTTGACCCCTTAGTTTTGGGTTTGTGCTCTTGTTTCGTTCTTTATTCCCCCTCAGCATTCGTTGCACCTAATTCTTGATATGGTTGCATTAAAGTAATCTCTATATACGAGTTTCACTTACAACATTCACTTGCATTGTATCTCAGAATTCATTGTACCTAATTCTAGATATGGTTACATAAATGTAAGACTTTTACTTATAACTTTTTTTTTAAAAAAAAAAATGCAATTTAAAAGTTGATCATAAGAATTATGACCAGTAAAAGTTGGGAGGCCAGAGGAAAAGTACAAATTGTGCACGCATCATGTTTCAACAAAAATGTACAGAAAACCATCAAGCAAATTCGCAGGTTTTAGGCTTTTTTTTTTTTTTTTTTTTTTGGTTACCAAGGTATCCTCCGGCCTATAACGGAAGACTAATCCTTTCGAGACAGGAGATCATATTAAGTAAGTAAATCTCTCCCAACAAAACCTTCTCCATACACACAACCAAGAATTGAATCCAAGTCAGTATACTTAAAGAACTCAGCTATCTACTAATTGTGTTATACTTTTTTGGTTTTAGGCTTTTAGTTCTGCTCTTTGTGTTTGTTTTATTGGTTTTGTTCAATTTCTGATGTTTTCTTGTGGGTGCAGTCTATGTTGCACCGACACCGACACGTGACATGGGATACGACACGACACGACACTCTGACACGTTAATTCTAAAAAATGTTAAATTTTGACACGTTAGGACACGTTTTGATATTATATAATATTTTAATTTATATAATATATATTATATTTAGTACTCAATAATTTAACAAAAAAATAAAGCTAAACTTATAATACCCATAAATTTTTCAAAGAAATTAAATATATCTCAAATGTTTATATTAAACTCAATAAAATCGTAATCTAGCGAATCTAATAATTGAAACTCAAAATGCAACGTAACATAACGTTTGAACCTTTTTTGAGTCTTTGCAACGAGTATTGGAGTGTCGAAAGTGTCAGAGTGTCGGTGAGTGTCAAGAAGTGTCGGACACGACACGTCACGTCAGGATTTTTGAAATGTCGGTGCTTCATAGGGTGCAATTTAGTTTTTTTTCTAAGGTACGTCTTCGTGAATAAAAGGAAATATTTTATTTTTCTTTATATATCAGCGAAGTAATTTATAGTTACACATGTTTTGAATTTTATACTTTTATTATTAAATTACTTCCAACATTTTAGCTATTTAATTTGTTTTCTTTTTATAATACAATAATAGCAACGAGATTCAAACTTGTTGAGATATATAAAAGGGTTCGCTTTTTCTGCAGTTACTGCAGATAAGTTATCTGCAGTAAGTTCAATACGACGTTGTTTTGGGCGGAAATCGTGGTGTTTTTGTAATTTTAATTTATTTCAGGGTTATAATAGTCTTTATATTTATAATTTTTTAAAATTTCAATACCAAAGCGACGTCGTTTTGGAAATAAATACAGATAACTTATATGCAGTAACTGTAGAAATATTTTTCCCTATATAAAAACTATTAATATAGTCTCACCTAACTGTACCAGGTTCGATCTTCATCGCCCCCACTTTCTTTCTAGTAGAATTTCTTTCTTCGTACAGATAGGTGGGTCTATGCATTATCCACACTTCAAATTCAATGGGCTCTTTTGTGAGGAGGCATGTTGAGATATATAAAAATCATCTCACCTAACAACTTAAACTTTTGAGTTGAATTGGTTCTTTACACTTATAATGTTGCATAAATTACCTAATTCCCTTGTCACTAGATTTCCAGTAACTTCTATTTTTATTTTTTTGACGTACCTTTATTTCAAAATATACAAAAATCACAATCATTCTTATATCCTACAATTTAGCCTTTAACAATACTTTTTTAATTTGGATTTTCTTTATGTTTTTTCCAACATATTTCCCCTATTAGTGAGATCAGTATAGGTTATGAGAATGGATGCTTTTTGCAACAAGAAAAATAAATGGAACACTGAATTAATCTACTAAGAATTTGTTGAAAAATACTTCATTAAATTTATTTTGATGATGATTTTTTATTAATCTTTGATCATTTTTTTAAGTATCAGTTAAATTCAATTCCAGTATTATAAGATCAATGTTGAGAGCGGTTCTTCCAATATTTTTTTTTTTCCTTTCTTGGACTAAATTTTTAAAACTTTTAATTAAAGGAAGCAAATTTCTTCCCACTTAAATCAATGGATATTAATTTTGATAAAAGATATTTACCTAAAAATGTGAAACCAATTTTTTGAAAATAATAATTTTAAGATTCGAACCACTAAGATCTTATATAGCGATTCAAATAGTACTTAGAACAAAAATAATGTAACACAATCATGATTTTAAATTAAAAATATTTAGAATAAACTTTTAAATGTACGGTTATCATAAAAAAATTGTTTGTAATTTATAAGTTATAACAACCTTAATAAAATAACACTAAATAATTTCTAACAAAAAAAATGACACTAGGTAATAATTCTCACTCTTTTTCTTTCTTTTTTTTAATTTTTTTTCTAAGTAATGATAGTAAATAGATAAAATTAATGTAATTCAGCTAAAACTTATTTAAAGATAATTATTGAATAAGTTAATGTTTGTAAAGGAGATTCATCCATTTAAAAGAAGTTTCAAAATGGATGTACAATTAAGAGATAAATGCAAGAGGTGAATTTCCTAAATTCTATGACCTTGAAAATTGTGCGACCTATATTTTGTTTTATTTTTATCTAAATGCACATTCTAACTCATTTAGATAAAAAGATTTGTCTATCAATATTTTTTGTTTTTTGTTTTAATCTTAAAACCCCTCCAAGCTGCGTTACAATATTGACATATAAAGCAAATTTGGGCCTCGAGACCATTAGAAGAAAATATGAAGTTTTGGATAGGCCCAGCCCTTAAACCCATCCCGGTGTTGGGCCAAGCCTCAAGCCTGGCTTGTGTACTACAACAGTATTAACAATGGTGCAATGTATCCAAAAAAGATTTAAAATTTCTCGTATTTTAAGGAATAAAATTATCTCTTACATACATATAAAAATATATGTGATCTATCGAGTTTATGTAAAGAGAAGAGAAAAAAAAATTAGGCCCCGTGTACTTTTATGTGTCCGTAAGAGATAACTACGGCATTAGAAACTTTAAACACATCCTAAAATGACTATTTTAAAGGAAATTTTTAGTTTTGCCTTTTGTTTGGAATTTCCATTAATGGAGTTATATCCTATATAGTTTTTATTTTTTTTGTAGATGGCTTAGTTCATCTATCTTAGTATTTTGGATTGAGAGCCCTGTAGATTTTGTAATTCCTCTTTCATTTGTGAACTCTTAAGTTGAACATAATCCACTTTTCTAGATAAAAAATGAAACTATGTTTGATTATGTGAACATCCTTTCAAAAAAACAGGGAAAATCAAATAGAAAGTCTCAAGTTAAAATATTGTTTAGAAAATTAAATGATTACATAAAGTAATTAATTTATTCAAGTTTGAATTGAATAACCACATAAAATGGTTATTCGATTCATGTCTTTATTTTCTCTGCATAGGACATACCATACCATAAGCTTAAAACACAGAAGAACTAACTTCAAACTTGATCAAAATGTTCCTTGAGATGGAGACCTTCACCGAGTGGCTTCTTCGAGAGAGTAAGGTGCACTCCTGGATCATGATAAGTGCAAGAAGCGTTGAATACCAATGAGTTGTTGACACACTGCACATTGCTGTTAATGTATACACTAGTCTTTGGAGGTAAAGATAGTGTTCTTAGTTTCAAACTCTTGTCCTTTCTATTTGCTTTCCCTTCTTCAGTATTAGCAGAATTCTCTGATTCATAATCATAGGCCTTCTTCATATTTGAATTCCCCATCTTGTGAAGATAGTTTGGTTTCTTTCGGGAATGGATTATTTGCATGTAAGCACCTTTGTTTTCCCCTGCAAGTGTTAACACCCTTATGCCAGAGTCATCAGAATCCGAAACCTTTTTGTGTATACCTTTCCACTTCATTTCATTTTCCTCGGTTGTCACCTGTTTTTCATGATGGTCAAAGCCTTCTAGCTTTTGGGTCTCATTCGATCCCTTATGCAATGCACCATTGCCATTGACATTAGGCTTTTCAATGGTCTTCTTAACCAGCATGGTTTTTGGCTCTTCTTCCATCATTATCTTAGGCTCAACCTCAGGTTTAGCATTCAACTTGTATGGTGGCAAGGTGAGAGGAGAGGGTGATGGGGTGAGTTTGAGTTTTTGTGACTGCATTGGACTCTGAATAGATGGTGTTGTTCTTGGTGGAGATTTTGTGACACTAGCATTGTTGTCTAGAGAGGAAGTGTTTTGAGAGTGTGACTCAGGAGGAGCAGGAGGAACACGCAAGGAGGCCAAGCGGGACCATGGACGAACTAAGGGTGGGTTAGCCATGGCCTTTGGAAAATGCCTAAGCCTTGATTTAAAGAGAATTAGCTCAAATGAGGAAGTCTTGGAAAATATGTGACTTATGCAATATCTATTTATAGACAGATAGATACCTGAATGAATGCTGAGTCAATAGGAAATGGTAAAGTACAACTTGTGAAAGGGAGAAACTAAAAGGAATTTGTATTAGAGCATGACCATTGCCAGCAGCAAAACATGGAAAGAGAGAAAATGTAGAAAGCATCAGATTCAATTGGCACATAAAAAAAGTTTGCTTTTGGAGCTCACCGACAATCTCACAAATTAAATATAATTAGAGCTGGCAAAATGGGCCGAGCCCGCCGGGCCGGCCCGCCCCGCCCCGCCCGCCAAACGGGGCGGGGCGGGCTAAGTTTTCTAAATCCGCTGCCCGCCAAGCCCGCCCCGCCCGCCCAAACGGGGCGGGGCGGGCAGAGATATCTAGCCCACCTTCAATGGCGGGGCGGGGCGGGCCAGCCCGCTTTTTGGCAGGCTTTTGACGGGCAGGGACAGGGCAGGCAGCCCGCTTTGCCACCTCTAAATATAATGCCTGTTTGAGGCAAGTATCTTACTAAGGTTTTTCACCTATGTGAAACATTTTACTTGTTTAATCGTTTTGACAAATTATGTACTAATTTAATGTGAAAAAATATTTATGGGAATGTTCGTGTTCAAGTCGCGCATCATTCATGTGCAATTCATACAAAATTCAATGCGCGTCTTTTATATGTCGCGCTTTACAAGATGCACACGAAGATATATGCAACTTAAACGTGTACGGAATGATGCGCATCCTGTAAATGTGCAAATCTCAGGCACATTTCACCAAATTATTTGACTTTTAAGTAAATGAGGAAAAATATTTATCTTTTTAAACATTAAATAAGTTAAAAAAGCTATGTTACTACCGATTGTGCAGAACAACTAATAATGTTGTATGTCCAACATCTTACCAGTACGTCTAATCCGAGGGTTGCTTCACTCTTTTTTAACTATTAAAAATCGAATACAACCAACCGTATGAGCTATGTGGAAGGTTCTGTAGTAACTAATTGAAAATTTCATTAGCTAGCATCTATCTTTAAGTTGACATAAATTGAACAAAAGCATCAGTTCAGTGATTCATGTTCAAGTGTGGACATTCTTAAAATTTCGGCTCCTAGAATCAGGTTGATTGTGGAATGTCGCATTCGTTACGTTAGTTCTCAACTATTCATCTGCTATACGGTGGATTATGCTTCGTTTGCTTCGGGTGGCTCCATAATGCTATGCAGTATGCATAACCTCTCATACTTTATTAAGATTCTTAATCATAGTTGTCAATTAACAAAATTCATTCACTGCAAAAGTGGGTGGCCAAATCAACTTCATGTACTGTCTATGCTTGACATTCTTCTTCAATCTCTTTCCCTCCTATTCGTTCTTTTCAAGATGCTGCCAGGGATTTCCTTTAACCCAAATCAGAGGTGCTGATGCTTTATTTAAGGTATCAACACATAATAAATGAACCGTATTTCAGGAAAATAATTTTTTTTTGTAAAGCTCTGTGATGAATTTTTTTTTTCATATTATTTTCATTTAGGTTACAAAAATATAAATTAAAACTATTAATTTAGTATTCACCTTACATTATATAATATCAGAGTTTATGATCGAGTGGTCATAAATTTGAATCTTACATCTATGTTCTCTAATAAAAAATAAAATAAAAACTTAAAATTAACTCAGAATAAATAAATAAAAATGAGTCTGTACATTATTTACACTTCAAGGCCAAAAATTCTTATAAGAGGGATTAAAATAGTTCTTTATAATTATATTTGGTAGGCTATAAAGCACAGACACACAAATTTTTTTGAAAGATGCGTCTCGGACACCGACACGTTTTGATATATTTTTCGACACTCGGACAACGTTCCGACACGCATTATACACATTTTTTTTAAGATCTACATTTTATTTTATTAATTAAACATGAAAAAATAATTTATAAATCAATTTTTTTCTATTATGAAATTTGACATGAAAAATTAATAATGTACGAAAAATTATTTTTGTTTATATTTATGTAATAAAATTTAAATATTTTATTAGTTTTATGACTTATTATGGGCTGTTATATATATTAAATATAAATTATATTATATATATTAAAAATATTATTTAATATCAAAATGTGTCATAACTTGTCGAAATATGATATTTTTTAAAATTAACATGTCAGCATATCGTGTCTCATGACTCATATCAGTGTCGGTGCAACATAATTGGTAGGTAAAAATACAATTTAAGTGGAAAAATTCGTCTCGATGATATTATTCTCATACTCAAAAATCCTAAAATCGAATCTATCATTATATATTTAAGGGACTTAACCCTTTCACTCTCAATAAAACCTTTAAATAATTTTTTATTTCAAATAAATTAATCTAAACGCACTAAAGATAGGTGGATCTATAGGTCATTGGCGTTAATTAATTTACTTTTTTGTTGTTGACTACAGTAGTAAAATAAAATATTTTTTGTTTATCAAAAAAATAAAAATAAAATAAAAATATTTTTTTTTATCTAAATGATTCAATTATTATCTAAAGTTATTACCAAATATCTTGCATTTTTTAAAAGCTCATACTATTAATTGCTTTCAATTTTTTTTATGAGAAATTTTTTTAAGAGAAAATTAGTTACATATATAAATAATTTTGTAACATTTAATGGAAAAAATTACGGCTTTCATTTGTTTTACAGAAACTTGGCATATATAATAAAGGTTATATTTATCTTATTTTATAGAGAAAAATAAATTTTCTACACACAAAAGAGTGATGAGTTCTACCTCCCTTTTTTTTCTCCTATCTTATCTGTGAATTTTACTTATAATTTTATTTCTATTACATAAGATGAATTTTTTTTTTATAACAAACAAAAATTATTTCCCATATAATAATTATGAAACTCATAATAGTCACCGTTGAGTGCTGAAGTTTGAAGCTTTTCATTTTGGTGACAGAAGAATAAGTACCCAGTCCAGGAATTCGTCCGATAAAGTATGGTTGCATAATATACTTCTGCACATTTTTTATATTTTTATTGTCTTATAATTCCGGAAACAAATGTCTTCATAAATACATAAGTCTGAAGATTTTATTTTGATACGAGAAATATTATATTTATAAAATTTTTATTAAATTCTTATAAGATATATTATATTTTATTGATAAGATATTTTTGAATAAAATCTTACTAATAAAATATAATATAGTTTGTAAGTTTATAAAATATATATATATATATATATATATATATATATATATATATATATATATATATATAACCGTGGGACTTTTTATATTAGCTTGAAACCAATAAATACGTGGACCATACTCTGACACACAAGGAGTCAGAAAAGCTAAAGATTTAGACGTATAAAAATAAGTAAAAAAATCGTGGCCCAACAATTATTGAAGGATTTAAGCTCTCAAAGCTCATTTCCATTCATCAGTTAAAGAACTCATGATCCATCTCCTTTCGAAAACTCAGTATCACAAAATGTCATTAACAATGTTTTTTGCTGGTCTCTTTGATTCTTTTGGCTTGTTTTATGGGTGATAAGTTTCTCCGTTGCAGCCAAAAACTTATCAAACAAGAGACGCAAGAAAAAAAAATGAGCCCACAAAATAAAATAAAAAAGAAACTCAGCACAGCTTTTGATGTTAGTGCAAGAGTAAAAAAACTCTCCAGCAAGCACATGACTTATTTTTTCATGAAAAATAATTTTTGTATGTTATAGAAAAATAATTATTTTATATTATAGAAATGAGATTGCAAGTGAAACTCATAGGTAAAAAGAAAGGAAAAAAAGAAGAAGTGGGATCCATCCATCTTTTATGTGTGTAAAAAATTTAGTTATCTCATACTGAATAAGATAAATATAACCCTTGTTTTATACACATAAAACGTTGGGGAATGCATCTATTGTTACATAAAAAAAAATTTGTCGTGCAGAGATAACATTTTGAGAGAGAGAAAATGATATAAAGAAAGAGAAAAAACAATGCATGGCCCCACAAAAAGTTGTCTATGCAAGAAAAAAAATTCTTATGACATTACCGATGGATTACACTATAACGTACTTACATATTCACAATCAAAAAATATATTTTTTATAGGGAAAAGTTTACCAATGCCCCTCTGGTTTACTCCAGAATCACTTATGCTCCTGTGATTTTTTTTGTATCACATATGCCTCTGTGATTTGTAAGAAATAAAAAACTACAAGGGCATATGTGATAAAAAACATACCCTTTTGGAAACCACAGGGGCATATGTGATAAAAAAACACAGGGGCATAAGTGATTCTGGAGTAAACCACAGGAGCATTGGTGAACTTTTTCCTTTTTTATATTACATGAGATAATTTGTCTCGTGCAAAACATAAAAAAATTGGTGAAACCTACTAAAGAAAATAGAGAGGAAAAAAAAAGAAAATTTCACACATTTTGTGTGTATTGTATGAGATAATTTTATTTCATGTAACATAATAAACATTTCCCTTAGAACAGTGATCAATGTGCCACGTTTTTAGCATTTATATACCAAACTGCTACGCGAACATTAAAATTTACCAGACTGCCACGCGTTGAAGTTCGCTACAACTAGTAGCGAACTTGGTAGCCAATGATTTCGTGACACGTGGCACATTTTCGCAGAGAAAACTGATTGGACGAAGTTCGCTACCAAGGGTAGCGAACTTGGTGCACTATGTGGCACAATCTCGTTACCCGATCAGAATTAACGTACCAATCACAATAAATTTTGATTGGTACATTAATTGTGATTGGTGATTGGTACACTAATTGTAATTGGTGATTGATACATTAATTGTTTGTGTTACCATTGTTACAAATTTGAACAATATTTATAAGAGATAAACTATGTCAAATGAGGTGTCATTACGTAAATCTCAAAAAAATTATGTGAAATAAAATAAAAAAATCATCTAATTTGAATATCTGAATCAAAAGTTATTGCCTTCCGAAGTGATTAGTAATTGGTACATTAATTGTGATTGGTACACTCAAAAGTTAATCCTATTGGTACAGTAGTTGTGATTGGTAATTGCTACATTAATTAAATAGTTTTTTCCTTCGTTTTCTTTATTTTTATTATGATTGGTACATTAATTCTGATCGGGCAACGAGATTGTGCCTTATAGCACACCAAGTTTGCTATCCATGGTAGTGAACTTCGTCCATCCTGCGAATGTGTGTCACGTATCACAAAATCATTGGCTACCAAGTTCGCTATCAGTCGTAGCAAACTTGGACACGTTGCAGTTAGCTTTTATTGTGAAAGTATGTCACGTGTCATGAAATCATTGGTTACCAAGTTCGCTATCAGTCGTAGCAAACTTCAACGCATGACAATCTGATAAAAAATATTGTTCGCATGGTTGCAGATTAGCAAAAAAATTGCCAAAAATATGACAATTTGATCACTGTTCCTTTTCCTTCACAATATCCCATCTTACAAATATTTATTTCTCCTTCTTATTTTGTCTCTCACATTATTTTTTTCATATTCAGTGGTTCATGTGTTAAAAATATATAAAACCATTAATGTAGCCTTAATTAATTGATTTCTTATATGATGTGTTAAAGAGATACAAAATAATTAATCAAATCTCACCTAATGCCTTAAGGTTTTGGATTGAAGTGACGCTTATCATGGTATTAGAGCTAAAGTGACCAAAAAGGTCATGAGTTCGATTATCTTCGCCCCCTAGTGGAATTAAAAAAACACGAGCTAAACTAAAAAATGAATTTGTGCAGCACAAGGTAGACTAAAAAATAAGCTTACGTTGTATCTACACTTTAAGTTCAAAAGGCTCTTACATGAAAAGACACGTGAGAGATACAAAAAAATATAAAATAATTAATTAAGTGTCAGCTAAGGATGTAAAGTGTTGGGTTGAAGTAACTTTTATAAATATGCTTTTTCGAAGGTTTCCATGCACCGATAGAAAACCTCTGTGCATGCAACGTTCCATATACCACATACAATGTGTCTTAGCTAGCTTGAAAATTTCTAAGATGAACTATCCTCGATGAAGAAGAAAATGCGCAAATTAATACAGAATTTAAATATGTTTGAATTAAGATTAATATTGCCCTATTTTCTTGACTTCTAGTTTTTCCAATTAAATGTTAATAACTCAGAAAAAGACAAATAAAGAGAAAATTTATTACTAATAAGAGTGATAATCTTATTTTCTTAAATTGTTAGCATTTAATGAAAGAAGAAAAAACAAGATAATTACAAGATTAAAGGTTTAAGGGAGATGAGGTTACTGTAGAAAAGCACTGGCTCCATGGTGATCTTAACCAGAAAAAGGAAAACGATTTCTATGTATATAAGTCACAGGATTAAACGAAAATTTAAGTAAAATACAAAATACAAATTAAATAAAAAAATTATAAAAATGCTAAAACTTTATATAAGTAATTAATTTAAAAAAATTCATATAAAATTTGCTATACAGAGATATGTAAGTACCAAAATATTTTAGGAATCTGAATTTCACTACGTTATGGCATGTCTATTACAACCACATTTATGTTCATCTGATTGTTCACTTTCATTAAGCACATTTCTGCATCTTAATCGAAAAAGAAAAAAAGGGGGTGTGTGATGGTAAAAAGGGAAATTGGGGGGATTTGGAGTTGCCAAAAAAGAGAGAGCCAAAACCAAATTGAAAGAGAACAATCAAGGCCATTTTGTGAACTCAAACACTCTCAACAAAATGTCAAATCCAGTGGGAATCTGAGACACAAAGAGCAATACGTTTAACGTATTCAAAGCAATGTGAAGGCTTCTTGCTGTTTCACTCCCTTTCTGCATTGATGGTACTAGTGCTGCTGCAAGTGCCCATGATACTGCAATAGCTGGTGCCAAAAAAATTGCACAACAATCATTTTCCATACAAACATAAACCACAAAGCTACATGTTCAAATATCAAAATATCTAATTTTTTTTTTAAATTCTTATCCACTTTATTTTTTTTTATATCATCAAATGCAAATTTAAAACTTTACCTATTCCTGCAAACAGATGTGGACTTGGAAATAACTTTCCTGTCCTAAACCATGTGTTCAGTCCTCCACCAACAGCCTCAAGCACCCCAAATCCTAAAAGTATGGATCCTGCATTGTAGTGTCTATCCCTGTAAGACCCTTTGAGTAGCTCTTTCCTCTCCTGAATTTGAGAACATCAGAATTCAGCAATCTAGGAGTAAATAAATGAATTATATTGGCTACAATTTCAATTCAACATTCAGTAATTATATTCAGCAATAAATTAAGTACTCATCAGAATTCAGCAATCTAAGAATAAATACATGCATTGCATTGGCTACAATTTCAATCCAAATTCTATTATTAATGAAACAATCCCACACATCTGAATGTTAACACCAAGATTAAAAAACCAAAAAAAATCATAGCAAAGGGTAAATGATAAAAGCCAGGGTTCTGCTCTTAGTTTGGAAAATGTGTATCATTACATAAAAGCATGTGTTGTTTTGAAAAACCTTGTCAATTTGATTCCTCTCATGTTCATTCCTACCAAGCATATTCCATAAAGAAATTTGCAGGATAACAATAACAGTGGTTTACCTCAGTAAGTTGCTGAATTTTGAGTTCAATTTGTGATGGTGGTGCTTCCAGTGGTTTACCTTGTGGGGTAACTTGGGTAGGTTTCACTTGTTTCTTGAGCTCATTAATCTCATTCTGTATAGTCCTTACTCGCCGCCATTGCCACCCCAAATATCCTGCCCACAAGGTATACAAGAACAAAGAACCCATCACAATGGGGTGTATAAGAGCAAATGTTCTTCCCTCCAATATCCCAAACTCTCCACCAACAGCAAGTGCATCCTGTGTCAAGTCAACAACAATTATTTTAACAAAGAGAAACACACACACACACACATAAGAAAATAATAAGAGGGATTGGATCATTATGCATAAGAAACAATTGGAGGTATATGAGAATGAGATCCTTGCCTTTTGTTCTAATAAGAATGGAAATGTGATTGCTGTGAGGGAAAGAGAAGCACTTTTGAGAATATTGCTATTATGATGATCCAATAATTTTTGTGGGTTGGGAGGATCTTTTGGGATGTTCTTCAATCTTGCAGAGATGGGGGGAAGTGGATGAAGCTTTTGGGGTGCATGGTGTGGCTTTTGGGGAAGAAATGAAGGTTTGAGAAGACATAGTGTGGAGGCCATGAACATCCTAGTTCATTCAGGGAAAGCGACACACACAGAGGAGAGGAAAAAAGAAGAAGCAGAATCAAGGTGTGAAAAAGTCCATCAGTGGTACAGTACAGAAGATAAGGAACTTGGATTTGAGATTGAGATGTCGGATTACAATCCATTTTATTAAGGTTGCTTTGCCTATGATATGGTCCCACCCTTCTGTCAGTGACCTATAACTCACGACAAAAATCAAAGTTCAATGCAAAAAGAAGGGACTAGAGACAATTGGGAGACCTTTAAAATCTTACTTAAATAAAATTGTCTCCAGTGAAAAATATGTATGGTTTATTCAGAAAAAAAAAAAAAAAAAGACAATTAGAAGCCAAGAAGAAAGGTAAATTCTATGACGAACAATTTTACTCACACATTTAGGAAAACATTTCTCAAGTCATTATATCATATTATTTAAGAGTTTTATAAGAGTTATGTTATAGAAAAAATGATTGTGTAATATTATAGAGATTCGTTTTCGGTGCCGCAGTTTTTTTTTTTTTTTTTGGTTTCAAAAAGTGTGGACCCACAAAATATTGTGTGTGTAAAAAATTTTGTTGCGTCATGTTAAATGATAAATGCAAACACCATTATTTAAATATTCTCATAATATTTAATGACGTCAAAATCTCATAGTATAAGTAAACCTCGTATTATAGGAAAATATATAAAAAAAACTAATAAATATTGTTTTACAATATATATATATATATATATATATATATATATATTTATCCTTTTAAAAGACATAGAGTTGTGTCATTTTAAGTAAGAAAAAGACACAAACAATGAAAACTTGTGTCTTTCTCTCACTTAAAATGATACAACTCTATACACTATAAAATGACAAACATCAAATCACATATATATATATATATGAGAAAAAAATTATCATTTTAAATAATATAATTTTGTGTCATTTAAAATGAAACGATCATATTTTGATATACATTTATTGGCTTTTTATATTCTCTCTCCTTCGCAAGATGAAACATGGAGAAATAAAAAGCAATATGAACTAGAGAGAAGAAAAAAATTAACAAATATGCATCAAAGAATGATCATTTCACTTAAAATAATATAAAGTTATGTCTTTTAAAATAATAAATATTTTTTCCATATATATACATATAAAATCAATCAAAGGGTATAGTCATCAATAATATCACATGATTTAATATTTACAAAAAATTATTAAGCAGGATAAGTATTCAAAATTTATTCATAAAGTGATTAGATCCTTTTGTGTATATGATGGGTTCGTCTATGCTCCAAATGAAGTGGACTCACATGGTTTTTGGGCTTTTTCATGTTTGATAGGACTTGTGGGCTTTCTTGACCATTAATGGATATCAATGACAATAAGCCCAAACCTTGAAATCTACTAAGCCCAAATGTGAACAATAAAGCAGTGCAACAACTCCGAACTGTTGAACCAAAAAACAACTAAACCAAAAAAAGGTATAAATCTAAGACATGGTCGTGACTCGTGACATATCAATCTTTATGTGTCAGTTTCTGACTCATTATTTGTGCATGTGTCAACTTTGTTATTGATTACTACCGAATTATGCTATCTTGATTCTTGAGTGATATATTTAGATAAATAAAACTGAACGAAGGATTCAAAAAAATGATAATCGAATATCTCTTCTCCAATTGTAATTAAGGTGGTGTTTGGTTGTGAGTTTTTCAACGGATATCTATGTTTCTCAAGTATGGCTTTTAGAAACACCATGTTTGTTTGAACGTATTTTCACCAAAAACTCATCTATCCAATTTGTCTGGATTTATGAGAAACATATATATCCGCACTGTTTAGAAACCCAATTTGAAGGTGAGATTTTTTGGAAAACCGGTTATCTGACTTTTAATGCACTGTTGATTTCATAAAGTTACCTAATTTTTCCAGTAAAGTTTTTCCCCACCAAACAACTTTTTTTTACATTTGTCTACCTATCTCACTTTATCTATCTTTTCAATCATTTCTCTATCTATTACATTTCTCTACTATTCCGAAAAAATTTCCTCAACCAAACGCCCTCTAAATGAAATTCGAGAGACTCGAATTGAACACCACTATTTAAACTGAAGCAATCCCATATATCCATGTTTTTGGTTGTTTAAATAAAACTTTTAAATAAATATATTTAGGGTTTAGGGTAAGGGAATTATTAATAGGTTAAGTTAGACCAACAACATCAAATAAGTTTGACATTATATCTTAACCGAATATCTTAAAACAATGTATTTACGGATTCTTTTATTTATATGGACTTCACTTAATCCATTATCAACCGATATAAAATTTCATAACTTGAATATTTCAACAAAAAATAATAATAACTATATAAAAAAAAGAACACGTACGATTGAAGTCACACATCACAGCATAATTAGAAATGCAAGTTACATGCATGCCCTTAGTACTGCCAAAATAGATATTATAAAGAGTGAAGACAATTAAATTAATGAATCTTATTGAGCAAACGAAGCTACAAATAACTGCTGTGCATGATCAAGCAATTTTGCCATAGTAAGCACTTTTGGAGGCTCCACCAATTAACCTTAACTAGAATGGTATACATTTGTTTACTGCGGATTTCATGATTGATTTGCAGAATTATACTTGTCAACCAAAATAAGATGCTATATGACCCAAATTTTTTATTTTATTTTTATTTTTAAGGATGCCAAAGAACCTAAATTCACCTGATGTACAAGATAGAACATGCCAAACAAAATATACAAGTTGTATTTTGTTTGCTATTGTATTTGTGAAGCAGTTAATTAGGACAAAAGCAAAGGAAAGAAGCAGTCCAAAATAGCATATGGCATGATACCTTGGCAATATGCTAAAGTCCCCGTCAAGTACACCGCAGTTATAATCTTACAAACAATCAAAACAATTACGATGCTTGTGGTAACGCCCCATATGCTTACGTAAAAAACTGGGACCAGTTTTTGTTTCTTTTTTCTAATTTTATAATGAATATATATGTTGATGTCCATTTTCGATTTTGACCAATAAGTTTCTTCTATTTGGAATTTTGGTATTTCTCAGTTGAAAGATTCCTCTGCTTGACTAATTAAATTTAAAATAATGGGACCTAGAAAGTCTATTACAGACAAAGGGTTACATAAGAAGCCTCTCAAGTGGGAACAAGTAACAAAAATATAATAGTTAGAAAGAAATCAACCACAGCACATGTACAAGTTGTAGGGGAACTAATATTATACTCCACTCAATATAATTGTGTCATGTCCACAATTTCTTCGGCTCATCAGTTATTGTAAGGGTTAAGATGAGTGAAAGGAATTGAAGTTGATGTTGCCAATAAAAAAAGAAAACAAAGAAATAGGGTACACGAAATCATTATTTATTTATTTTTAAAAAAAGCTTACTTATTTTAAACTATATTTTTCTGTATTTTTTTTTTTTATTATCACGATTTACTGCAGTTAAATAGAGAAAAATAAAAGTAATGGGCACATATTTTGTTGCTGAATATAACTACTTCAAATATTAAAGGGAAAATACTATTAAGAATATAAATGAAATCTCTTCAAAAGTTAAACTATATATGTCTTTTGAAAAATAAAAATAAAAAATAGGTTATTACAATTTCACCTGAATATAGCGTAACGCATATCCTAAGAATTCATATGCAACCGAGAACGGATATGCTTGATATATAGCATCAATTACCTTATAAAGTATGCAAATTTGGATCACCAATTAATTGAACGAGTCTCACCGACTTATAAAAAGAGATAAAGAGATAACAGCATCACCGTTAAGTTGGGATAAGATCAGATATAAACTAAAAGCTAAAAGCTCAGAAAAAAAATACCAAAGTTTAAAAAAAAGTTCTGTTTTGTTATTGGCAAGCAGATATTAATATTCCGTTATCAGTTTGAGAGAAGCGAGTCTAATATCTCTATAGTAGTTTTTAGAATTTTAGAAAATTTTCTTAGATATATACACACACACACACTAGAGATTCAAATCCTTAACCATTAAGTTTTCATTTTAGTTTTTTGCCACTTTTAATACCAATGTCTTTGTGATCATGCATTTAGTCAACGTAAACCACAGAAAATGACTCCAAAAGACATGTCAAAAGATAAAAATAAGGATGCATCTTCCCAGAAAGTTTATATTATAGTTAATTCAAAGTTGGTCATAAGTTCTGTGCTCCTGTATATATATATATATATATATTGTATAGTTAGGAACTATTTAATATTGTAATAGGATGAGATGAATTAATAGAAGGGGTTGGAAGATGTGAAACTCATTTTAACACACATTTCCTAATTTCATAGTAGGATATGGGGCTTAATTAGCGTGTAGTTGGTTTTATGTTAGGGATATATTTTTCTTATGTTGTAGGGAAAGAATTACCTTATGTTGTAGAAACAAAAGTGTAAGTGGGACCCACATGTAAGAGGAGAGAGAAAAAAAAAGTGGTGGGACCCAACCCTTTTTGTGTGTGTAGGAGAGATGTTTATCTCATGTAAAATGAGATAAACATAACCCTTTATGTTAATGATAAATTGGGAAATCTATTTCACCATTGACTTAGAGGGCCAAAAGGGACTTGGGCTAGCGTAACCAATGCCCTTCATCAGTTCATGAGCTTAATAATCCTTCCTTACTAGGTTTGAAAACCTGTCTTAAAATTGCTTCTTTCATTGTTTGAATTGGTAAATAATTGCTTCGTTTAGAAATACAATACTTTTTCCAACAGTTAAATTAAAATGTTTAATCCATTACATGGTTCTAGCAATAACCTCCTTTACGTATAAAAGTATTGAAAAGTAAACTATATTATTTTTAATAAACCAATATTTATTCAGACCAATGTTGTCAAAATTGAGTTTCTACGTAGAAACGGAAGGGAATGGTAGAAACGTAAATTGTAGAAACGACACGAAATGTAAAGTTTTTACTACTTAAGGTCAAAATACAAAATTATATATATATGCATGTAAAAAAAAAGTATCACATAAGTCACTACTCAAAATTCAATGAATAACTTAATATTTAAAAGATGGAGAATGTTATATTTACAAACTTTTTGTTTACAAATTCTAACAAAATACACTAAGTATGACCGATCATACTTCAATCAAGAGTGTATGACCAGTCATACTTAGTGTAATTTGTAAAAAAAAGTTTGTAAACAGATCCTTCTCCTTAAAAGATATAAGTCACATAACTATACAAGAAATAAGTCCAAAAACACAAAAAGAGTTTAATAACTCCTATAACCAAGTTTCACAACATCAATAGAATAAAGTTTAGCAACTTTTAAATGAAAATACAGCGGGCTCGCATGAGAATTTTTTTTTTCAAATAGCTAGAAGAAGATACTGTGCATTTGATTTGGGGAAAAGGAAATAGGATTTTTTTATTTTATTTTATTAAAAATATAAAAAATAAAACCAACCATGGGTTAAAAGTTGATCTGGTTTGATTTTTTGATTTAAGTACAAACGTAAAAACTTGTGTTTTTACTGTTTTTACACGTATTTTTACCAATTTTTATTAAAGAGAATTTTTACTTGCATTTTAGGACGTATCACTTTAGTAAAAACATAAAAACGTATTTTTTACGTTTTTACACTAATTTTTAACAAGAAAGATTCAGACTGTGTTTCACTAAGTTTAGAGGAATACTTATGTACAATTATTAGATGCAAGCATATATTGGGTCATTAAAACTTAATGAGTTAAATCAGACTTCCTTTCAGAATTTGTGCCAAAACTTTAAGTCAAAACAGACAAGAATAATAGAATATTCATCATAATTTTCTCCTTTTTATCGAGTCTTTTCGAAAGTGCCTTTCAGAATTTTGAAAACTTGTCAAAAGAAGAGAAAATAATTAATTAAATGGAAAACAAAAAAACAAAGTAGAATATTGAGAAAATAGCTAAGTCACCGAATGATATGATGGAATCTGTAGTCATCACTAGAAAAAACAAATAGAAGATATTGTTGATTATAAGGGGCCAAGGAAATGGAAAGTTGATGATGTGAACACAAACAAGAGGAAGCCTTAAAGAAAATTTCAAAGCGTCCCAATAGTGTGTCCCCGGCTTATATATTGTGGAGTTCAAACTTAGGCCAAAATAATTTTCAATTGGAATTCACAACTTAGAATGGAAAGTCCATGCATTACTCAAACAAAGGGGCTTCGTGCCTTTCTGCCATGCATGACACTAAATTAGCTAAAATACACGCACAACGGGAATATATAACTTTTTAAGTAGTTGGATGATCACATATGAAAACTAGTAATAGTGAATAACAAAAAAGAAAAGGAAAAAGAAAACTAGTAATAGTGGACTAAAAGGGAAAGGTTTTCAAAAAGGTAACAAAGAAATAGGTAGATATTTGAACGGCGAATTCATGTTATATAAAAAGTTTCAATATATAATTTGTTTACGATAGAAGTGTTTGTCCTTTCAAATGACACAACTTATGTCATTTTACTCTCACAAAGAGGTGGGACTCACCTTTATTTTTTTTTGTTCATTCTCTTTCTTCCATGATCTATCTCTTTTTCTTACTTAAAATGATACAACTTTACATCCTTTAAAGTGACACACATTTTTTCCTTTGTTTATATGTTAATGGTTAGTAATTAAAATAATTTATTTTTCCATTTAATAAAATTGATTATTAAATTATAACCATTAATTTGTTAATAAATAAATGAGATATTTTTATTCAATGTAATCATATTAAAACAAGATCCGAGAAAATATTTTCCCCAAAATTAATCAATAGAGAATCGCCTAAGAAAATTATTTCTCATAAATAATATTATTTGAAAAAAATGATTGGTTTTGACGTTAAACACAAGGTTTTCTTTTATAATTAATGTTGGGAAATATTTTCCCCAAGTTTTCATCATGTTACATATTTATCAAATCTGTGCCAACATTTCTTTTTTCTTTTTTTAGTTGTGGATATCACCTGATTATATCTCTATATGAAAAAAACACTGTTCATTGATATTTTTGCGGAGAAAAGGCAAAGTTTCTAACATTTAAATCAGAATTACTCTCTAATAAGTAATTCTAATATTCAAGGGATTACTCTAATTAATAGTCAACGATTGTGAACGCAGATAGACCCATAATTATGCATTTAGATTTTGATTAATTATACTAATTATTTGTATTGAGATCAAATGAATTATCATTGTGAAATTCTTTTTCCAATATGAATGACCAGCCTTTAATTACATCGAAATGTGAACTAATCAATGTGCATGTAAATTGACTCATACACCCTAATCGCAACGGAAAATATATTAAAAAATAAAATCCTAACGTATCTCATTCTTGTTATTGTTGCTATTTTGGCAAATGCAACAAGTGCAAAAGTAATACAAACTACAAAGTCAGAAAGAGTAGGGTATGAGATAATCAAGTACAAAACTCACTAAATTATATTAATACATTTTAGAATACAAAATTGGGATTAAAAAGAGTTCTAAACAACAATTAACAAAGAAGAATAAACTAAAGCAGAATACCAAATAGTGGTAGTTCAATTAGCGCATGAGAGTTGATCAGATGGTGGTGAGAGCATAGGAAGAGATTTCAAACCTTAATCCTGGACTCGTCCTAAATCGGACTAGGCGCGAAGTGATGAACCCAAAAAAATATTTTAAAAAAAATAAAAAATTAAAGCAGAACTAAAACAAGATTCACTCAAGAATATTTTAACATTTAGAAAACAATATGTTCTGTATTAGAGATATAGATGTCTAGCCCAATGGACTAGTATATTAATATTGGATCTAGGTGTCTTCTCCAAAGTATCTATGGATATGATATCTTTGAGTCAAGCAGATCATTGTGTACTAAAGAATTGTAAACGGCTTTGCCAAAGGATATGTGTGTGCACAGTGGCAACATAATAGTAAAAGAGAGAGCGTAACGTACCTATAGGTCTTACATCTAGTTTATAAAGTTTACCTATGGGTAATGGATTATGGACCTTTAGTGCGTCTGATGATGGTCCAAGCCCATATGCCATGCTCTCGTTCTCGTATTATGATTGATATCTTTGATGGACATCTTCTATAATTGTATCTAATTAATATCTCGAATTGTCTCTTGTGGGCTTGTCAATTAATGAGCCTGAATCCATAACACAATATATTACGGTTTTGATATCACTTGATCTTTTCTATATATGGATAATTGGATTTCAATTTCTAAAGCATATTTCCACGCTCGATTGTTAAAATTTTCGAAATTAACTAATGCCATTGGTGCATAAATTATAATAATTTTAATGATCTTTCTATTAAAGTCTTAATATATGATAAGTAATTTCTTCCATATTATTTAAGAAGTAAAAGCATATGAATTAGCCCAGAATTTGTTTGTTGAAATAGTTATTTTTTATTTATTATGATTGATTCACTTATATATTTTAAAAAAAAATTATAATAATCATTAGATATATTCATTTAAATCTACTATCAATAATTACCAAATTAGATTAATCACGTGCCAGCACATGATTTACGGGCTAATTATAAATCAATTAAAATTTAATATTTTAAGTTTTCATGTTAACCAAAGAAAATAAATTAATATTTTTTTAAAATGAAAATCAAGGAATTGCCATGGCTCTCTTACCTAATTCCGTGTTGAAAAGGAAATTATTGAAGCAGATTACGTGACACACTGTGTAAGATTTCCCTATCTCCTAAAAAATCGAAATAATTGTTGATTAAAGAGAATGATAAACACATACACATTAAATAGACCATGTAGCTGCAAGAAACACAGACGAAGGAGGAGGAGAAAGCATTCATCCATTGTTCTCAAATCCACACCCAACACAACAACTCTTCCTCTTCTTCTTCCTCCCTCAAAATCCAAACATGATTTTACCCCAAAACTCCAAACATTCCAAAACAAGAGACACACAATAATACCAACAATACCCAATTGTGCAAATTGGGTTTTGTTGTTGTTCGATCGTTGACATGATTCCTTGCAACCCCATATTCCTCGTAGTCCTCGCTGTCGTCGTTTGTTTCATTATTCGGTTGATGCTATTCAAAACGGGATTGATATACACGACGAAGAAACTCTACGGAACGGCACAAGATTGGTTCCACGTGTACCAGTTCCTCAAAGTCCCCGAATTAAACGACAGCATGCAGAGGAATCAGCTTTACCGCAAAGTTTCACTCTATTTGCATTCTCTTCCTTCAATCGAAGAATCTGACTTCACAAACCTCGTCACCGGTAAAACCCAAAACGACATCGTTCTCTGCCTTGACCCAAACCAAACCATCCAGGACCATTTTCTCGGTGCTAAGCTCTTCTGGTTCAACCAAAAGACCGAACCGAACCGGACCGGTTCGTTGGTTCTCAAGATCAGAAAAGCCGATAAACGTCGAATTCTCCGCCCTTATCTCCGCCACATCAACGCCGTCGCCGACGAGATAGAGAATCACGGCGGACGCGATTTGCGGCTGTTCATTAATGACGCCGCCGCCGCAGCCGACTCCGTCGGCGGAACGCGGTGGAGATCTGTTCCGTTCAACCATCCGTCGACGTTCGAGACCATAGCCATGGAAGAGGATCTCAAGAACAAGATAAAATCGGACCTGGAATCGTTCCTCAGGGGGAAGCAGTATTACCGGCGGCTCGGCCGTGTGTGGAAACGGAGCTTCCTGTTGTACGGACCCTCCGGCACCGGAAAATCGAGCTTTGTCGCCGCCATGGCAAATTTCCTCAGCTACGACGTGTACGACGTGGATCTCTCCAAGGTTCGCTGCGATTCGGATCTGAAGTTCCTCCTCCTCGAAACGACAGAGAAATCGATCGTCGTCGTGGAGGATCTGGATCGGTTCCTGGCGGAGCAATCGGAATCTAAGGCGGTGACCGCGTCGGGGATTCAGAACTTCATGGACGGGATTATAAGCTCGTGTTGCGGCGAAGAGAGGGTGATGGTGTTCACTATGAACAGCAAAGAGTGCGTTGACCCGAACCTGCTTCGGCCGGGTCGGGTCGACGTTCACATTCATTTTCCTATGTGCGATTTTTCGGCGTTCAAGACGCTGGCGAGTAGCTACCTCGGGGTGAAGGAGCACAAGCTGTTCCCTCGGGTGGAGGAGATTTTCCGGAACGGAGCGAGTCTCAGCCCCGCCGAGATCGGCGAGTTGATGATCGCGAACCGGAACTCGCCGAGTCGGGCCATCAAATCGGTTATCGGAGCGCTGCAAACGGACGGTGATGGGAGGGGGTGCGCGGAGATGATCGGACGGCAGATAGAGGATGATGACGTGGATGAAACTCACTCAGGGGTGCTTTGTGGTGCTGAAGGGTTCTCTACGGTTAAGGATTTTCGGAAATTGTACGGTTTCTTCAGATTGCGGAACGCAAGAAGATCTCGATCGTCCATTTCCTTTGAACATGATAGATGATGATAGATCAATTATACTTTCTTTTGAATTTTTTATTTTTTTTTTGTTAATTTGGGTGGAGGATTAGGTAATGCGTTTATTGGTTAGAATCGTTAGATACCCCAATCAAAAGTGTTCGTATTGGTCCCTTAGGAGTGATTTGCATTGAGTTCTTTTTAGTGGAACTGTAAATTGTTAGAATTAGAATGGGCATTGATATAAGAAAAAAAAATAGAATACTACAAGGTATAGTTTGGACATTAAAAACTACCATGTATAGTTTTATTTTCCCATTTTGATGAATGGGGAGCCAATTGCCAGGTTTATTATTCACATTGGAAAAAACAAAAATTGTTCAATATATTTTTGTTGTCCATATCATTGTTTGAATTGGGAAGATATAAGACAACGAAGAACAATTTGAGTTATCATTTTTTTATTCTTTCCCAAATGAGTTTTTCGTCGGTTATGTGGTAATTGATAAGTTTTCTTTTGCCGCCGCCCAATTTAGTTAAACATTAAACTTTCAATTTTAAAAGTAAATGTTGAATTCATTCAAAGGATTGTAATGATCAAAATCATAAAAGAGATTGCTTCTTACATTGTCAAAATATAGTTATCCTATTCTCAACTAATTGCTCTGACCTTTTAAAATAAAGAAGGAAATGCTATCTGTCAATGGCTTTAGAATTTTGAAGTTGTTCATGGTTTTATATGCTAGAGAGGGCATTTTGTTAGAAGCTATGAATATTGAAATTATATTTAAGACATGTCAGCCCGGAATTTACCTTTGGAGTAGGTTCTGGAATAAAAAATTTAAACATTTATTTAATTTATAAATGAAATCGTTTATTGGAAAATTATAATTATATTTTTGTATTCTGTTGTTTTATATGAAAATTCATTCAAATAATAGTTGTATTTAAGTTTATATGATTTGGATTTAATTTAGGTTATTAAATTAACAGATTTTCTTTTATTGATTTGGTTAATTCAATATTATAAAATGAAATAAATTCAATTTTCTTAAACAAGTTCTAAATATGAAAATTAATTTACAATTCAACTAATTGCAATACATTTTAAAATATGAGATTTAATTTTTCAAATAAAAGGTAATTTTTTAACTTAAATTTTAAAATCAAAATTCTATTATAACCAATGTTATTAAATCCAGACCGATCATCGACTCGGACAGGATATCAAATCTATAAGTAATTGATTCAACTAATAAGTCATTGTAAAACCACTCAAACTAAATTTACGTAAATATATAAATAGAAATAAAATGACAATCACAGTGACTTAGAGCATTTCATTTATCTTCCTTTAGGTGCCAAGTTTAAATCCTCGTAAGTGAAATTATGGTGGAATTGGTTGGCACTGGTCGAACCAATTTTATGATTGGTTTACTAATTCTTCATCAAATTGCATGCATGAGTGGTTAATTAACTGAACTGAATCAGTTACTAATGCGACTCCTAGTTCAACCAGTTCAACCAATGTTATTAAAATCAGCTTGGTTATTGACTTGGTTAAGGTAATGGATCAATGGTTCAACCAATGGAGACCCAGTTATTATATGCAATTCTATAATTTATATTAAAAAATTATAAACATACTCAAATATTTAAAAAAATATAAAAATTTCAAATATTTTAATATAAAAAATAATGAATCACACAATATTATCCAATAAAGGATCAAACAAAAATATAATGATTGTGATACGGGGTTTCAGATTCAGTAAATGACATTTATAGTTATAAATCAAATCAAAAAAATTTGCATAGTGCATAATTGAGATAATATTAGTATTGTAGGTACATAACCTATGTAATTCAATAAGCAAAAAATATTCAAATATGTATATTATGATTTTTTTGTTGACATTTTTTTTTGGACCGGGTTAGGTCACCGATTTTCACAAAAATTAGCCGAGTCGCATTGGATCGTATCAATTCTGATGCATGGCCAATATATTGCTTCATCTAGACCAATTATATGACCGTTTACCGATTCCTAGATTGACCAGCCGAATCAATCCGATTTTATTAACATATAGTCCGACCAGTCGAATGGGGTCAGTTTTTACAACATTGATTATAACCTAAAACCTCCCTTATGTGTTATTAAATATTATTGTGTAGGTGAATTGTATATTAATAACGCCAGCAATTAATTGTATTTAAATGCGTTTAAGAGTATTCTTTTCTTTCCTTATAACACGAAGATTTATGCACTCAAGCATTAATTCATCACGTGATACTCTTAATTCCACACTAACAAACTATAGTTAATAAAAAAATTGTCACAAAACCAAAATGGCTCGTAAAATATCAAGACACAATATTAACTTAATTTGAAGTCCTTGTTTTACATTTTTTTTAATGTGTGTGAGCTTTGTATACTGTTAGCAGCTTTTACTAATTATATCTTAAAACCAGATTTCTGATTAAATAATAAATAATGCATATCTTTAAGAAAAAGGAAAGATTCTATGGACAGGTGAAATTATTTTATGCGTTTATTTTTATTTTATTAGAGGCTGGTGAACCCGAGTGATATATATTATAATCCATAATTATTGACCCATATGATTGATATGTTTATTATAAAAATTATTTATTGTTCATTAATAAGTGAAGCTAGGTCAGTTAATTGCACGATATTCTCCTTTCCTTGTACTTATATGTGTATCATATATGGTTGAATATCAAGCGCACCAGGAATGTACAAATCCATGGGTATCGATGTATCAGTTTTTTTTTTTTCGGTTATCGATGTGTCATACTTATATCTTTGTCATTATTATTAGGGATTTATTACGATGCATCAGCTTTATTTAATAATTATTTAAAAAAAATTATAACTCTTAAATAAAATCATAAGAAGTTAATAATAATATTAACATACATCATAAAGTTAAAAAGGCAACGTATAAATAAAGTTGGAATATATCTTGAGATTCATAATTAATGAATTTCAATATCAATAAATTAAACACATGGCTTTGAAATTTTGGAATACCTCTGTCACTGGAGATTAAAAATTTATTAAAAGTATAATAGAAATATCCGCCAACTTATTTTCTGCACTCAAGCCCAGAAAATATCTTTATTTTAACATATGATTTGAGTAGGAGGGGTTGAAGTTACTTAAATATGTGACTTTAAGTTCTCATGGTTTATGTAAATGAAAAAAAAAAATTACAGGGAGGGATTTTTGTTTTTGACGTATGACCTTATTTTGAAAGATTATTCTTCACTTATCTAATAAAAAATACTTTAAAAAAATAAAACAAAATTAATGTAGATAGTACTTAGTTGTCCAACAAACTCCTAATTTGTCACCAAATAAAACAAATTAAGAAGAATGGCTCCCCGCAAAACACAGTCATAGTCATGACTGAGATATTTGATGGGGATGTATTGATTTGAATTTCTCTCTCTCTTTTTTGGTTTCATTTATCTTCTTTAGCACCGCATATTCTTGGAGGTACGGAATATGCAAGTTTTAGAAATTCGGCACAAAAACATATCTTACACGTTTCGGCACAATATATATCAATATGTCACATTGGGGATTTATGTGCCACGTTTAAGCACTATCGACCCCATTTACTAGATCAAATGATTATGCAGAAATGGGACACGTGAGAGGCACACGAAATTTCGCGGCTTGCATTAGCTTGGACCGTCTCAAAGGATAAGCCTCATTAAAATCGTACAATAATAAATATAATAAAATATTAAAATAAACAATAAGTTATATTTGCAATATTTTTTTTCTTACCATCATTTTTATGAGTATTTGATTAAAATCAAATTAATGGTTATAAAATTGCATGAAAAAGAGTGATTGACTTGATTTTGATCTAACATTTACAAAAATAATTGTAAGGAAAAAAAGATGGTAAGTATAATCTTCTTGAAAAAAACAATTTCAAAATTTCTTAATCAAATCAAAGTACTTTTGACTTCTGAATGTATATAAAAAATTAAGAAGGAAAGACTTCAATGTATCTATTTTCGAAATGGTTATAATCTAGGTAACACATAAAAATTGCTTCTTTTTTGTTCATATACTCCATTAATTTTAAATTCAAGAATTCAAATTAGAATTTTTATCTTTTACCAAAAAATAATGTTTATATCTACCAAAAAATAAAAATAAAATAATGTTTATTATAAATTTTGATTTATCCAACTTAAATTAAATTTAAATATTTTTCACCAATATGGATGACTCCTGTCTAATGTTGACAAAGATTAAAATCAATGTCAAAATGAAAAATATTTAATCATTAAGACGTGATTATTTACATCAAATCAATATTATTAAAACCGGTTCGGTCATTGACCCGGTCGAGGTACTGGGTCACTAGTTCAACCAGTGTGGGTCACTGGTTCAATCGCATAATCCGGTAATTATATGCAATTTTATAATTTTTATTAAAAAATTATAAACATACTCAAATATCTAAAAAAAATGATACAAATTTCAAATATTTTAATACAAAATATAATAAATCACATATTATTATCAAATAAAAAATCAAACAAAAATATAATGATCGTGATACGGGACTTTAGGTTCCGAAAATGACATCTAACTATAAATTAATTCAAAATTTTATGCATGGTATATAATTAAGATAATATTAGTGTTGTAGGTACATAACTTATGTAAGTCAATAAACAAAAAAAAATTCAAATATGACTATTATGATTGTTTTTTGAAAAAAACAAAATTGGGATTTTTTTTGGGACCAGGCCGGGTCGCACCGGTTCTGATGCATGACCGGTCCGTTGCTTCAACCGAATCAGTTATATGATCGATTTATCGATTCCCAGGTCGATCCGAGTTTAATAACTATGCGTCAAATAGCTGTACTTCAAATGAAGCCTTTCAAAATACTAGTTGAATTCAGGATCCAATTTTAATTTAAGTCAATTTAGAGTTAAATATTATTTGAAGACCATAATAAACAAATTAAAGGATTGTGATTTTATTATTATCAATTAAGCACCTTGTTATATGGGTTCAGGGGAGCCTATGATATGACGAACTCATCATACTTGAATATTCCAATAATATTCCCTTTAAGTATAAAAATCACTGTTGATATGCTCCCTCTCAACTCCAAGTATCCCAAGCTCAAGTATTCGGCATTGAGTTCATGGATCCTTCTATTTATATAGACTTTATTTAACCTATTAGGAATCAATGTGGGACTCATTATACTTGAGTAATCTAACAATCCTCTCCTTAAGTATGAAACTCATCATTGATATGTTCCCCCTCAACTCTAAGTACCTAACGCTCAAGTACTCAACCTGCCTCTACTAAACACCTAGTTAGCTTGAGCCCAACCCGGCTCTGATACCACTGTCAGGTG